CGCATGACAACGGTAACTGATTTTAAACTATACATGTTTTAATGTGCCGCTTTTGATTTGGAAGCCACGAGTCTTTACTTATTTCAACTACTTACTTACTTACTTTCAACCTTGAAATAATTACTAGAACTTATTTGAAGCTGACCTTAAGGATCAAACATGTTTATTTAGCTCATTCAATAAAACTATAATGAAAAGGTTCGATGAATACGTAATATCTTAATCTGAGGCGTCGAATGTCGATTGTGCAATAACAAGAGGTTGGATGAGCAAAAAGCAGCTGCGGACCCACTCGTAATGCTCGTAACTAGAGCCGTTACGCAATTCGGCAACGGCCTAATTGATTCCTCTCCCATTCGGCCAGACGGGCCGGCGCATTATCGAGCACAGGTGCCCCTACTCTCCGGTTATTTGGCTTCTCGTGACAGACGCCGACAATATCAGCCCACCTCTGACTCGAGATCTTCAACACTCGTTTCATCTTTAATTGTATATCGGAAATTCTTTTCGTGACGTGACTCGATTAGTAATAAAGTTAGAACGCGACGCTCCTAAACGGAAATGGCTTAATTTTCACGAGTTGAGATCTCTGCATCGGCACTCGTCCATCGCAACGTTTTCCCTCCCCCGCCTATTACAGAAGTGTGTAAATCGAGCGAATGTTCGGCAAGGTGAAATATGGAGAATCGCTAGCCGATTTGTATGCGCGCTGAGTTCCCTGTAAGTAATTTATCTGAAAGTATTTTTGGTCGCGAGCGAAGGGGTGTGCGCTACTCTTACTCCTTCCAATCGCAATATGTCTCCACTCATTCAATTACATTAAAAGCTTAATTAGGAATATTAGAGAAGAGTCCTCGTTTACTTCCATACTCTTTAGTAGTTGGTTTCTGTAAATTTTCTCGAGTTTGTTGAAGGATTCTTCGGTGCGGACCGAAGTTGTGAGATGCTTAGATGAAATGCGGCTCGCAATTAGAGTAATGGACTGTAACCTTTTCTGGTAAAATTAACGCCATTCGTCTATAGCAAAAGTAAAGGCACACTCGGTACAATTAAGTTGTGGAGTGGAGAGAAATTGCAACAAGTGCAACGGGCCTCGTCGCGTCCACGCTCCATTTAACCCACTCAGTTGGCGGGCCGTTCCGAAACCTCCGCCAACTCACCTTCGCATAAACACCTATTACGTACTACGTATTGTACAGTTCATTGCCCCTTTAGGTTCAATACAACAATTCGCTAGCTTCCTTTATTGCATCTGTATACACTAGCAGAAGAGCCAATGCTAGGGTGGTGTGCTATCGAGCTGTCGAGTTGCCGTCAACTTGAGACTCATTCTGTTAATTGAAAACTTGTCCCGGCGCCTCCAACCGCGTCTCTATTGTTTACCTCAGCTTTTCGATTTTTTTCTACGAATCTCCTCTTTTCATAAGTATCTCTTTTAACGAGTCGTCTCCGTCCTTCGTTTATATCGGGCTTCTTTTGGACTCCTCACAATGAAGCGGGGATGCACAATTGGTTTTTCCCGTTTTTTCCTTTCTTTCTAAAGTATTTTCTTTAGGACGTTGTCGTTTGAAGGTACCTCTTAGCTTTTAAAGTCATTGCTTACACAACATGTTTGTATATAACTTAACACTAAGTTTGATTAATATATCAATCCTTTTTCAGTTCCATTTCAATAAAAAACGTTAAAGTTTTTATTTGATAATTTAAATTGACAATAAAATCATATTTTTCTTACATTATAACAAACCGGTACAACCGCCAGTGAGTCTAAACGTAATAAAACTAAGAACTTGATTCAGAAAATAACTCGTTCCTTGTGTACGCTCCATCACTTTCACATTCCTCCTTACACAGACACATATGAATTCTTTCTTCCCTAGTATGCACAAAATAAATTAAACTCTTTATTCTTGGGTACAAAGTTTGTATTCCCATGCGTAAATAAGATACTTGTTGCTGCCCCTAAAACGGCCGTACACCGGATCAAGCTGTCTTGCCGAACTACCGTTCTTCCTTCCCTATTTCAGCGAAAAACAAGGGAAAAGTGTTTTTAGGGCGACAATATCGCTATCTGTTCGCGGGGACATAATTTGTCGTACGCGACTTGGACAACCTCCGTCTACCGCGAAGGCTAAAGACTTGAACTAGAACGCTTAGGATTTACAACAAGAATTTTCAATTATCGCACGAATGTTTTATTACGACACAATGATACGTAAACAACTGTTATATTTATAAATCGTGATTTTAATAACATAATATTAGGGTTCAAATTAAGATGTAATATATTATTTTAGCAGCCGCATAAAAAGGTTATATAACCTTTTTATTTCACTTCCAGAGGTGATATTATAGCTCATAAAAACTTCATATCTATTAACTTGCATGAATCTTGTCTCACACTTAGCTTTCCCCAAGATACTACCATTTATGCCATAGTATGTGTTCTTGTGAGTGCGAATGTTGAATATTTCATAATAAATTACACTCCTGTACTATAGTTTGATAGTTCTCCGCCTCACAATATTGTGAATTTCGCTTTTATGGTGGTAAATAAAATCTTGACGTTGTTGGGTTATTGTTCCTAAAATATACTTACTTTGTTTGGTTCATATTTATGTAAGCTCTAGCGTTGAACTCATATCATTCCCTAGTATTTGTTCTAAGACAATTTTCTTTCAAATGTAAGATAAATTTGTTTTAGTAAAGGCCCTAAATCTGTCACACGTCACGGCTTCTATATATTTATTTTAATATAGCCAAAACGTCAACAGTAGGATTATTTCGTTCTACTATTAATATAACAGACACAAATCTCACGTGATATGAAATCTCTATACAAAAATGAAAAAATAGACAGATGTCTAAAACATTCTTTAATGAAATAAAAACAGTACAATGTTATAACGGTATTGTTCAAATCGCTGCTTTTCCTCGCTGTTCCACATCAAACAAGCGGTTCTGAGGTAACGCAATAACGCCTCTCGCACACCGTTGAAATTTACCTTATTAATTTTGTTAGCGTGAAATAATCACACAGGCAACCTCCACTGATCCTTCAAATTATTTACGTTTAATACAAAACGTGAAGGTAGCTGTGTATGTACACATTGTTTACGCTGAAGACAATCTTCAAAAAGTAAGGGAAAATTGCGGGAAGTAACGTAAAAGTTTGCTGAGAGGGGTTCGTAAAGTAAATCATATAGTGCGGTACATATATTTTTTATATTGTGATACTGAGTACTGTTTTATTACCAACAAAGTAGAAGAGTTTCGACGATTTGGGACTGATTTGTGTTCGTTAATTTATTATTAAATTAAAGCGATCTCTGATGCTTGTTTGACGTGTTAACACTTAGAACGCCATGTCGAACAATGCTGTCCGACGGTAGCCAAGGGTTGGCCTTCAACAGTTGTCGGCAGTCAAAGGCTTGAAAAAGAAAACAATCATAATTTCATAAAGAACATCATTAAATCAACAATAATGGCCACTCACACTTCCACTTCCTATAAAATGTACCGTTGCTTTCTAAACCAACCGCAACAAAATAGGTTTCCCAGCGCTGGGCTATAAATATCCAGCGGTACTTGCTTACAAGTGCGGTCTGTTACACCCACTTATTGGAGATCCCGTTTTAACCCGACACGTCGCCTTATCGCGACGTGTTATCTTAATTTGCAGTTAGTTAACGGTATCCCGGTAAAGGATTACCTAAGTAGTGTCTTAGTTCAAAAGCGAGTTCTCAGAAATTAGTAGTGTTAATTAATCTTAAGATATCTGTTTCCAATAATTCTCAGAAAAGACGTCCGTAGGTACTTGGGTACGGCAATTTACGCTGTGGAATTTCTGATTTGTTTTATAATAATTATGTATATTTAAGTATAAATTAATTACAGAGTCCTCCCACTTGTTTGATTATATCTTTGATACTTAATCAGGCACATAATTTGTCTTAACATTAAACAAAATTTTGTGGTAATCTATGGGCCCAAAGTATAAAAAACAACATCTAAATCCACTTTATAAACTTGAAGAACTATGTGGACTAAGTTATTCCGAATTTCCTTTCGCGCTGGATGTTCCAGCAAAAAGGTTTGATATAGCGTGAGCTTAACCCGCGGTGTCGCCGGAGCACGCGCCTTTATCCACGCAATCTAGCTTCCGTGACGTCAGGCTCTTTTTGTCTGCCACACAATCTGATCGGCCAACTTCGTAGCACTGAGTTATGGCTCAGAACTTAGCACTTCACCCGACCACGTCGCCAACAACTTTAAGGTCTACGTGTCTTTATCGGTCACTTTGTTCCTACAAAAACTTTCCTTCAAACTTTACGTACAAACTGGCTATCCTATTAATATACGAGTTTATTCGAAGTTTTCAATCAAACATTTTATGTACTTTTCTGGGTATCTCTAATACCAAAAATATTAAAAACGCGGTGTTTACCTCTAATACCTGGTAAATTACATCAAAACTAAGGGTTATGACAAAGAAAACACAAAAACTTTTCCAATTACATATTCAACGACTCCGCTCAGAAGAAATTCACCACTCCTTGAACAAACGCCTCTATGAAAAGAAATCACCGAATAGGTGAGCGCGGGGGTAAACTCACGAGTAAACATTTGCGTATGTAAACTGGAATTATTCACGAAAAAACTTTTAATGGCGTCCCCGGAGTTCCCGTCAAACATTTATCAACAAAAGAACGAACGTCCCGCAGGCGATGGAACTTGAAATGTATGGAAATTACCCAGTCACGAGCGGGAGAACAATTCACTAACGTCGGCATAGGCAAATGTTTTTGTTGCAGCTTGTTTCGTTGTGTAACTTGTTCAGATTTCAAGTTACAACTACACAACTCGATTAGACATTTAGTTAGAACGTACTACAGAACCACCTACAGACACGTGCAATACAAAAATTGTATAAGTTTGAATCACATGACTCTAAAAATGAAACATTCCGCGGATACAGATTCAAATCTGCGAGTGATTCGTCAGATGTTCGCCGTCGAGCGCGCGTAGACCCTCGTTGGGCGCCAAATAACTCGGAACGGAATAATGAACCGCTTCAGATTCTTCAGCAAACAATCCCTGTCATTGCTCGACTGCAGAGAGAGAAGATTAAAATTTCATAAATTTCACTACTAATGCAAGATATATTTAAATATCATGTTTTTGTAATATCTTTGTGTAATGTCAGTATTGGTACAAAAACATACGATGTAATATAATTGCATTCCAGTTCATTGAACTGAGTTTTAATTACAACCGAGTTGATTTAATTATCAATACTTGGAAGCTGATTATGTTCTGTTTCATTAACCTCCTAATTTGGCAGATTAACCAAAGAGGTAAGATAAAATAAATAAGCTTAGAACGGACACTGTTTCATTTGCATTTCAATCAGAACGATATAGCCGGTGGAAAAGAAAATCTGCTCCGTCGCCTCACTTAAAGCTTTTGAAATATTCCTATAACTTCTGATTCTACGAGAAAAAAAGCCTATTTGAATTGGAAAGATCAAAGCGTAAAAATTTATCGTTACAAAAAAGCGCGGCAGGAACGTCCAAAAAGACGTCAGGCACTTATTATTTCAACAGAGCGAGTGTCTCGTCTCCTCTCTCATTCTATTTGTCTTTTCGATTGTTCCGGTGCATAGACTCCTCCATTACTCGGCACTGAAAGGAAAGTTTTGTATTCAATTTGGTATTATAATTCCCATTTGAAGTCGCCACGCACCATCGCGTCGACATCGGCTATGTAAATGGGCGTTTCCGGGACTTAGTCGCATTTTCGCAAAAAAATGTTGAATAATTTCATGTTGACATTTTACACTCAAACCGGCGATATTTCTGATTCGTCGCCGTTTGGCCCGCGCTGTCGGAACTGCCGAGTCTTTAATTTTAGTTCTACCACTTACTGCTTGCTAAATCGTAATACTTTCATGTCTTTTCCACTTCAGCAGACGTCAATCGATACGAAAGTTACGTTAAGGTTAAGCATTTATTTATATAACCACTTGCAGTGGAGTAAATTCTTCAGTTGTGTAAATATTTCCGTGTGCTTACCTGACGTGAATTTTTATTCAGGTTCGCGCGCTCAGCCCGTCGGGAGACAAGGAAACATCTCAGAGTTTCTCTTCAATTTAAAATGGAAACTTATCCCTCGGCTACCATAAAGTCTGTATTTACCATAGAAATCCACCTAGCTCGCTGGTTTCGATCCTAACCGGTGTCCACACTGAATCCAACTGGATTTAGAGCGTGCACATCGGCTGAACTGCGCCTCCAATGGAGGAGCTTGCATCTTCGTACAACGCGACAGGTTTTATTTTACGATATGTTTTCCGCGACCGTTTCGCAGATACTAAAATAATAAGAGTTTTACGTCGCCGCGTATTATGTAGCTTTTATGGTCCCCCCGAGCTTGGCTGAAGCGCTGTTACAGTGGCTTACGAGGGCTCTTGTGACGAAATAATTAACCCAGTGTTGCTCGTATTAGACTCGGCTTCCACCTAACATTCACTACTTATACGTTTAACATTTTATTGTACTCTTTATACGAAATTTCCTCAGATTAGCGACGTTTTTCTTTTGTGCGATTTAATAAAAAATAACGATGCCTCTGTTCTTGGCTGTAGGTTATATCTCAATGAGCAGAATAATGAGGTTGTATCTTGATGTTTTGCATGGAGTATCTAGCAAATCACTTTTAATTAGCGAATACGACTGTAGCTCTTATTCTATTGAATTCCTATTTCAAAATTTCTTATTATACTTAAAAATTTAAAAAGCAATACTCAAATTTCCTGTAATTTTATCTTAATGAAGTAACTGCAGTGATAATATAATGGGGCATAACAATCACAACACTATGATCGGTCATGTTAACAGGCGGCGCGGAATCACGATCGAGATATAGGAGCGGGCTGGACGTCTATATTCCAGCGAGAGACAAGGGACCGATAACAGATTACCCGCAAACACGTTTTAAATTCATTTCCCGACCCGAGCGCCGATCGCTCCCCGATAAAATGTGGGGACGACCCGGGAAACGGGGACATATTTACTTTGTCTCCCCGCGGCTGACTCCACCGCGGCCACTTCCCCGGTCAGGTAACGTTCCGAAGTGGCAAAATATTTGTCCTGGCTCGTTACCCATCTGTTCCGATTTAAGAACATTAGCTACTTCCAAATCTGGACTCACTTTTAAAGTCGAATCTCAATGTTGTTTCCTTAATTTTACTAAACTTTGTAACTGAGTTTTGTTAGAGAAAAAGTTCGAGGTAACCTATTATGTTGCTGATTCTTTGCATATAAAACTTAAATAGGTAAGGATTTGTACTTTCATTTTAATTTCTTAATTTGACCTTGTCAATTTTCAAGAACTTTATTTAAATTAAGTTGTCGTTAAAACAAAAACCAATTTCATTATATAAGTAACCTTTTTCCCGAGTCACTGAAATTGTAGGTAGTTTAAAAAACTGGACATGAAACCATTTCCGTAATCTCTTAGATATTGTGGTGTGTTGTTGATAAGCGTTCAAAACTGGTAACATGGTTGTTGCAACGCTACAAGGCTTCCAAACTTGTACGGGTAAGTCCATTAACGCGTCAAGAGCTGTGGACTATGTTTTGACGCCAGATATTTTGATGCAGAACGCTTTTTGGCACTCCCCGGGTAACAACACTTGCTTTATCCGGTCAATTGCTTTGTGTAAGCCTTTGTACGAAAATTACTTGTTTTTATTGGATTATGGAGAGTTCTCACTCAACTTTAACGAACTTTACTGCGTTTCGTTGCTTCTAAGTATTTAAGTTGCGGTCTCAGTGGAATATGAAACTCGTTTCAATTGATTTAGTATCCGCGTTTAAGCCTCTGTTTGGTATTTTTATGGCATTAACATATTTTATCTGTATTCTTACCTATTTTCCACTATTTAACCTCATTTGTAGTTACGAGTAGGTAATTTAATTATGACTTACAACATTTAACAGACTCTGGTGCTGCATTAAAATATATGTTTTTTAAAGTTTATGCTGGAGAACGTAATATAATTATGAATGTAAAACTAACATAACGTACGGTTTGCTCTTTTAGTAAAAATATTAGTAGTGCTGTGCACCTCTGAATTATACTCAAAAGTTTAATTTTGTATTTCTAAATGTCGGTAGTAACAACTTCAATTAATGTGAAACAGATATTACAAGCAGTCTAGTATGTTCTATTATTAATTAGAATATCTTTTTAAATTACTACTACATTTTGTTTCATAATTTGCTTCAAGTAATGTTTCTATTATGAGCCTACTCCGCAATTAAGCTAACAAAACAATACAACAACGTAACTATGGTGCTATGGCTTTGTATAACAATAACATTAACATTTAGTTAGTCCTGTATGCTCTGTAACTTGGTATCGGTGTCTATACTGTAGTTCGGAACTGCAATGTTCCCGGTATTACCACCTCCGGGGTCTAATCAATAGCTACACTGGCCAATGTTCGCAGCCATACTCTAAATACACCGTATTATGTACTTACTAATTAATTAGTTCCCTTGTACCAACTGTGGCCAGTTAATGCTCGCTTTGTATGTTTTTCATTTGCCACTCCAATTTCTGTTTCGTCAAACGTTAGTATTTATTAAGCTCGTCGTAAGTTCCGTCGAACTGGAGTGTGGACGCCGACTTTGATGCACTTTTTGCTTCATTTCCACTAAGGACCTGGGACTGCAAATATCGACTGTTTGATTACGTTTGGCGCAAATCAAACAACCCCAACGTTTATTTAGAGCAAATTGCTCCGCAATGAGTATTAACAAATGAGTATCGATTAATTAATTAAATTAACACACTCGATGATGAATAAACGCTTTAAATAAAACGAACGAATTCTCGCCCCGGAAGACCAAAAAATATAAGCGAAATAACTACCGAGACAGAAATTTTCACTGGCCTTACAGAGTAGGCAATAAACCTTCATAACGATCTAATGATAATTAAATATTGCTATCCAACGTTAATAAATATAAAGGACTCGCTTCAAAAAGCGAAGGTGAAGAATAGGAACGAAAAAGTATTTAAATCTCAGCCGTTTTTATTTATCTTTGCGAAGCGCCGCTAGCGGTTAAATATCTGAGGCTACCCGCCGCTCTTCTAGAGACAAATGTAAACACACCATTGCCTTTGAAACGCCATCCGCGAATATACGCCTGCATACCATAAATAGTTTGACGTGAAGTTAAATTGTTTGTCGTAGGTATGGGTGACGTATTCTTTTTCGCGTTTTGTTTTTCATGTAATTCTGTTTGTTGTAATAGAAAATGTAAAAAAACTTTTACTGTTTACCATTCATGTGATTTGAACGAGGAATGAAATTACCTAATTTTTCAAAAATGCAAACGTTAAACTATTTTTAACCGACTTCAAAAAAGGAGGAGGTTCTAAATTCGACGCGTATTTTTTTACACATTGTACGATCAATAAATACCAGAAATAATATTGGTAAGTAAGTAAAAAAATCAAAGTATGAAGAATTCAAACCCTTTTGAAGGAACGAACAACAAACAAAAGGGGTTACAAAGTCAAAAGTTTTCACTTGTTGAAATTCCCTCAATACATGAACGAAACATATTTTCTCGGAGTTGTTTTAAAGATGGCATACATAATCTAGCGCTGGATGCGTTTCCTCAAAGACATAGTATCAGCATAAGCTGGGAAACGGTCCTCTTTGACGCAGCCTTACGAGACGACTAAAGGGTGTCACGTTTTGCATTCTCTCCTAGCTATTCGGAGTACGATTGTTACTATTGAAAATGTGACACTCTGATATTCCTTGTTATACTTTTCATTCCTAAAATTGAAGTGAACCCATTTGTTTGAAATTCAAGGGACAAGACGTTGCTTTGAACTAGTACTTATGAACTCAAGTATTGAAAAAGAAAACATCTTTTTAACATTTAATAACACAAACTTAAGATCATCTCAATAAGAATCATCATCATAATCTCTTGTATTTACTCAAGACCCGTTAAAAATTAAAGAGTGAAGTGACTCGATATTTTGTTTAACTGGTGCTTCACGTGTCGATATACTAAATCGGAGAAGCGTGAGAGGGCTTGAAATAACAAACGAAATCGCTGCCTTGTATTGGGCACGACATAACATTTGGAAGGCAAAAGGAAAATATGAAAAGGCGGAATATTGCCAGACGAAATTACGATCGCTTTAGATTCCGTACGGCCCATTGAGGGGTGAATTGTTACCTTCGTACATTGCCATAAAGAATCTATTTGTTTTTCCTTAGTCAAGTGATATTGATTGTCTACCATATAAATGTGCTAATGCGATATATGCGACGCGATCCCATTCATAGGCTTTTGTGGAAGTGTTTCTTCTAAAATGTTTGAGATATTATGACAAAAGCAGCCAACTTAACTTAGTACTGCTAGAAGTGCTAGACGTCTAACCAATTTAATTGGTGATTTCCTCTATTTGTATGGGGGCGTACTTACATGCTTCGCACAGTAAACTACCGGTACACGTCCAACTAAAAGCCTAGTTGGCGGCGCGGCATCGTCTGGAGAATAGAATATTAGCATTAACAAGACAAATGTGCCGTTGGAGTTTGATAGTTTCTCATTAGGAGCGAGCCGGGCCCGTCTCGTCACAACGTCTAGTAAGCCGCTTTCCTTTCGCGTAACTACTCCGAGTATTATGAACATGGGCTACAGAAAGTGAAGAAAGCTTCAGCTTTGTAAGATAAAATAGTATCGAATTATTAATGTAACTATTTATACGAAGGTGGCAAGAACACGATAGTTGGCTGAGGGTTTACAGTTGAAATAAAAATCATTTTCTGTATGTGTAATGAAGCAATACTGCTTTTTTTAGGTTGGAATCAAAAACGTCGTTAAGCTAAACTACTTAGACATTGTTTTATTCATGAAATGGTGTTTAAAATATTTGCCAGACTTAATTGACCAACAACCTAACACGCACTAGATTGTTTGTAGAATCGCATTGATGATATCTCTAAGCTTGCTATGCATCATCATGTCTTTTTTAACCTACTCACAATTATTTACAAATCAATGTTAAAAGTGCTTCCAGTTCCTCAATAAATCATAGCCACGTTTATATGTTGTTAGTCGTAAGATCCGCGTCAAGATGTCGATTGTGTCTGTGATTATTCTTCCGCTTGCCAACCTTACACGATAAATTAACACGCTTCTTATACGTAGATTAACTTTATTGGATCAACGGAAGTTACTCAATCGCATTTAGCTAAATTACCGCATCTGTTGTTTATTTTTACTTAAATTGGATTGGAAATAACAATTACGGAAAAATACTTGATTTTTTTATAATTATTCGATATTTATTATGTTATACCAACTTGTCAATACAGTCCCCTATTGGACAGTGATTTAATAACCTTCTGATCCTGTTTGGAGTTAAACTTAGTGATTATAAATATAAATGAATCCTTTACTTTCGGATATTTATTTAAGGTTCCAGGTCGTTTATAAAACAGCGAAAGCCATAAAGCACAGCAATGCGCCCACTGCACAGTGTTCGTATCGTCTCGTATGCAAATGAACGTCGCCTCTAAACGTTGCCCTTTGTTTCTCTCGCTCTGTATCTGTTAACTTTTATCGCACAACTTTTCCTTCGACTAGATTAGTTTTGCTCTAACAGTATCGTAAATTGAGCAACCATTAAGCTCAAGTTTAGTGAGAGTAATGATCCGATCTATCTCACAACTTCAACGGGTGCGATTTAAAACAGGATCGTAATACACGCAGATGCTAAATAACCATTTAATTAATATATAGTTGCAAACAACAGCGCACTGTTTGCTGCATCGATCTCGGTGTTAGCCCCGCATAGTTCGGCCCGAGTTAAAATGGCACGCGAGTTGCGCTCGAGTGGCGGTTACCTCCCGACGTCTCTATTCGTTACCAAAGTAACCAGGCCCCTACAACTTAGTTCACACAAACTCGCTGCTCCTACTTTCCCTATAAAGTAGAGTTGTGACAGCGAGTAATGTCTCCTTATATTGTTCTGGGGCTAAGAGGTTTGCCTCCTAGTTGTGATGAGAATTGTTAACTTTTACATCGTCTCGTATCTGCCTAATTTATCGCAGTCACACTTTGAATTTTTAACATACTCATCTCAACTACACTAGCTATTGCAAACCTAATAAATTATTACTGGAATTTATATTGCTGGTTGGAATCGAAGAAAACATCGTTACGGCTTATTAATGACTGCGGAACGTCTTAATATCCGAGTTAGGGCAAAGAGTTTTGGCGATAATCGATATTTCCGAATATCGATTATGAAGTTAGTGCGAAAATCATCCGGCGCGGGTGGGCGCTTGACAAATGTCCGTTATAAGCGCAGAACAAATTGGTGCAATTAATTACGAGTGGAGCTTGGTAGCGCTGAGCCGACAAATATTATCAAGATCGTTAATTTCGACATCTTAGTCGAACGCGGTCGGGCGCGATGATATTAAGCATTAGACGAATGTGCGGCGCACACGGTGCGACTAGCGATGATGGGATCGAACGCGCGCCCGCGCGCGCCTCCCGCCGCTTAGTGCACAGCGCACCGTCTGATTTACACGCAGACTTGTTAGCGCCGCGTCGCGTCTGTCTACACGCTGCTCACTCGCATTAGCGGTAACGAACATAATAGCTTACCCAGTGCAAAGCTTACCTTCCTTCCCAGAAAATGATTTTGTCTCAAATTTTACTTCAGAATTAAGCTTGCTTTAAAATCTCTTAGAACAAGCTTCATTTAATATGTACGTGCATAAGGTATTCTTAAGTTAATATATACTCTTGTGTAAATTTACTGTTAGGTAAGTTGCCTTTTAGCAAATTTTTCACGTAGCGGTATTTATTTTGATTCATTTTCCTTGTAACGTCAGTAAACCCCTTCTTTTAATCAGGGCAAAATAACTTAATTAACACTCTCAAGGCACGAAGGTGAAAAATTGTTCTGTTAAGAGCTTAAAACGAGTTAGGGGATTTACATAAACGGTATTATTAATGGCCCAAACTAAACAGTACTTTATCAGATGGTATATTGAGTTCTTGTTAGTAACATTTGTAGCAAGCTGTTACGCAAATCCATGCATGTTTTTGTTAACGATTCAATTCCGTCGAGTTGCTTGTGCCCATAAAACATGAATATAAAATTGTGCGAGTAACGCATGACTCTTAATGAAAAGTATATTATCTCACATAAAAACATTTACGCTCGTTTTCAACGTTGGTTATTAAATTAAATCATAATTTACACACGTCGAGTTAAATCAGACTGTAAGCTCGTGAAATCGCAATAAAAATTATTTGACTCGTTACAGCCTCTCCACGCTAGACCCTTTTATTTTTTTCATATTAGATTCATTCTCAGGAACAATGACGTCATAAATGCCGAAGCGATTTTTCATTCGCATCGTAAATGTTCGCTTTCTCTCGTTTCGCCTTATTTTATTCGGCCACAGAAACAAGGTACTCACGACACGAGTTTTATTATGAGCTTACCCTTCCGAACTATATGTGTAGTGCACACTGGATGAAATTGATATTTGACATCGATACAAGCCAATAAGTTTACACAAAAATTCACTTATTCTATTCTAGAAAATTAGCCAAGATCTATCTAACTACATGTTTCGATTTAATGTCATTATCTAAATAATAAGTATCAAAGAAAAATTAGTGTTTGAGATTCATTGAATCGAATACTCATACTGAATATTGTATATCGATTAATGATCTCTTGAACAGTGTTAGTATCACATAAATATTTCATATGACACGATAGTACACTGTCGGCCATTTTTATGAGGTCTATGAAAATCGCGCGCCGCCGGTTTAGGAACAAATGGTTATATCTAGCGCTATCGTTTTATTCACTACATGAAGTTTTATTGTCTTCATTATCAAATTTGAATAAATTACATCGTTCGCTCTAAATGCTTTTTAAAAAAGCCTTCTCTTCCAGGTGTGTCACAAATTAAGCTACCAAGGATCACAATAGGTACATGGTTTTCAATTTTGGCAGATTATTTTCTTATATTAACGCTGTTATCGAATTTACTTTCAAATAATTATAATATTCATATTACTAAAGTCCACGAAGGTCCACGATAATTTATACTCTACACTTTTCCATTAAATATAAAAAAACAATGTTCCACCAAAAACCTTTGACCATCTCTACGACTCGAGTATTACAATAAATATTTATCTGCCATCGATATTTATCGTAAATAACAAGAGAATCTTTACGTCCCATCGTTCCTGGAACATTCAGCACATTTTAATATCACTAATACATTATCCGTATTGATTCCCGACAATGGACTTCGGTACTCCTCTTTGACCACGTAAACATATCATTCTGCGTCCTTACTATCTGTAAAAAGGGCTCGAGCTCGTTCGTCTGTTATAAGTAAACCTTTCATGTATTTTTTATTCCCTATATTTTGATATGTGGGCCCCTCGTATCACGTTCATTCAAATGACATATTGGAAGAACGTTTGAGTATGTTTCTCATCGAAAAAAGATCACAGTTTTCTTTCGAGAGTAAAACCAAATACCATCTCGTGAAGAACCAATCTAGGGAATTGATTTTCCATCGTAGGTCCCATCCGTACATAGCTACGCACGTATTATATGAGGACAGATTACATTTTTTATTAATACGTACATTAAACGATATTAGACATTGTAGAAGCCATCTGTTTGTATACACTTAATGTTGTTATGATGGAAAAATACGGACCATTGTGATTTATGTAAACAGAAACATATTTTATTTGACTACAAAATAAATATTAAGTTCTGCTCGGAATAAAAGTCTTTGTTAAAAATAAATGTTGATCATTAAAGAGATCGGGCAGCATGGTTTACGTCTCCGACGGCCGCCTACCTGGTCCTGATGAGCCTCCAGACTAATAACGTTAGTCCCTGTATTTATAGGCAATGTCACCATTGTCTTCATCATGAAGGCATCATTCAACATCATTCTCCATTAACTTGAGAAATTGCTAAGGAAACGATAACTGCCGCTTTCCCAACACAATCCACCGTCCTTCCGCAAAATTTTCATCCGTGCTGTTTTTTCGTTGTTGTGAAAAATGTTATTTAATTTCGGGCAATTATTACACGCGCTCTACGAAATTACTCCAAGGAATAGGGCTCACGAATGTTGGTTTTATTTCACAGACAACGTTCCTTTTACAACAATGAAAGCTTTATGTTTAAAAATGAAAATCCCGCTGTTACCTTTATCTGTTTTTCATAATATTAAGTAAAATGCAAATAAAGGGTCACAGTTATCACAAATGCGAAACTAAGAGCTAAAAGGTTTTCTTTTATTCGAGTGTAGTTCAAACATAATCTGCATACTTTGTTTCAGAATTTATTATTAGCTTAAAACATTGTGAAGTTCCTCGAATCTTTTTCTGTGAAATAAGCGTTGACTACAATCTAAAGGGATTACGTAGGTATGACGTGAATGTTCGTAATAACAGATTACTTTCCTAATTTACATTTTCATAATCGAATACGTAAGTTTACATAGGTCGGTGTGTATCACCGTCTGTCATTTCTCGCGTTAGGAACAATTGATGTGTTCGGCTTTATTAAGTGTCTCGCGTGAGTGATATCCAGGCGACGCACGCCAGGTGTGAGCTTCGCGATACAAAATCCGCGGTGTTGCGTCATTTGTACGTTTTCTTTATTACGTAGCGTGATTTATACCTTAGCCCGGTGCGTTTAACTGCTGAGGTCTGTCATTTCGCCGTCTTAAATTGAGATTGATCCCGGGGAAGGGCGGGTTGACGTGTGCGTTGGCGTGTCCCGGAATTGTGTTTTTGTTTTATTTTGTTACTTTTTCCCTTTGTGTCGGGGGAGATGACGTCTTCGCGCATGCAAAGTCACCTGTCAATATTTTGGCAGCGACGCGGCCTTATTTCCCCTCGTTTAAGGTTCGGTTCACGTTGTAGTATTATACCCGAATGAATATACCATGACCATTGTCCAAGACTCCAATCAAGGTATATCAAGAAAATACATATTACGAGTAATGTTATATCAAACACTAACTAGACTACCTAAAATGCCTACCATAACATACCACCATTAGTTGTATTTCAATTCGTGAAATTATAATTTTTCATTAAAAGCTTCGCTTTCAATGTACATTGATTTCAAATTACCTATATTTTGATTTGTAATGTGAACTATTTAATTAAATGGGACGAAGCATTCATCAGCCTACTTTACTGCTTTTTACTGCTAATTACATGACATACATTGCATGCATTTGTAAATGAAAACTGTTTATTTTATTAGTATTAAATGTCCTAGCTCGTTTCATATTTTATTTTTATTTTTAGATTTTTATTTGAATGTAGTTCTTAATTTAAGCGTGTTAATTAGTTCGATGTTGTTCTGGTAAGGTCACATATAATGGAAAAAGAGTTTCTTATTACCGCGTGTATCATACGTTTCACACCTAACCGAAGATACGTTAGTGCATCGATCTTTGACACGCTCGACGCATTTTCCATCAGATGTGAACCGACCCTTATTGCTATTTGACGTCTCGGACTGAATGGATACGTGTTTTTATTACCTATTTAGTATTTACTTAGAAGTATTGTTCAATTTTAATGTTTAGTCCGTGTTTTATATTGTCAGTATCACAAAATAACGTAACTAAGCCTTTTTTAAACGTGACCATTTACGAATGTCAAACTCTATCTAGAACAACAGTTTAAGAATTGTTCTCATTATCAAGCCTGGAATCTATGGAAGCTATGGAATCTTACCGATCTTCAGCCTCTTAATCAAAACTTTTTAAACGAAACACGTACTATTTGTGTATTTATTATTTTGTAGAAAAAGTTTTATTAATTGACCAGCGTATTTAAATGTTGTTTTGTATTGTTCACAGAGAGGCTCAGACGAGCTTCTTTCGCAGAGTGGCGTCACCGTCATGGCGCCCGCCGCTCCGCACCACGCCGACAATAACAATCAAGACTCAGCTGCGAAAAAGGTAAGAGATAGTCTTTTTACACTTAAATATATATTTTTACCTTTTTACCTACATATGTAAACCAAAAAGGGAAAAAATCGACCTAGTTTAGAATCAGGCCACTTCACTTCAAATGTGAAAAAATTAAAAATTCAAATATACCTACCTACCCGCGTTCTATATCCATCTGAATTTTACTTAACATTTTAACGGCACTTCTTTCGTTGAAATGTGTAATTAACTGAAAAACGATTAATCGCGATAAAACGGCGGAATCGCGAAACCGTAATAAGTATTAAAATAAAAGGTCCCTCGTAAAAAGCCAACGTGCCATAAAGAGCTACCCTGAGGGTTTGGGGGGCAAATTTTTATTAATCTCCACCCCTGAGTTGTCGATACCGGGATGAATTTTTACATGTGAGATTAAATCGATAAGATTATCCATTAAACCCCTTTAAGTGGCCACTGTGTATCATCACCCTTAACGTTAATTCACATCAAATTTCGTCTGAATATTTTTTTGTTATTTTTTAATTATGAGCGAGATGAATAAAGCGTCTGAAGGGCGCCTAAATGGAAAAGGCGTTATTCAGAATTAAATATTAATTGTATACGAATACGTAAAAATAAAGTCCTTTGTTCAATATTCATAAAACAATTTCAAGTATACGAAAAGAAGTTCCATTATCCTATTTCTTTGAACATTTCCCCGTTTCACTCCTTCGCTAGATAATTTATTGCGTTTGCAATGAGATGTGATATTCTATCGGCTTGTTATTATATTTGTTATTTTTAACATTTTGTGTTCCGTATCCATTACGAATAATTTACATATGCGAGGTAAAATTGATAGCTGTAATTTTGATGGATAAAAACATACGTATTACTAAATTTTTGTAACCAATTTCTTTGTTTATCGAACATTGAGGTACCTATTATAATACGGAAAGCATAACTCATAGTAAATAAGTACGTAAAATATTTTAATAAACAGTTAAGAATACTTTATAGGTTATTAACTGCCCATATTTCACTGTAACAAATAAACGGGAACCGTTAACCTAAAGATTAAAACCGTCAACAATGTCTGCCGGCGTATACAGTACTAATCAACGAAATGTTTTAGTTACGCTGTGAAAATAGTCGCTACACAAAACGTGCACGTGGTAAAAGGGAGGAAACAATCAACATAGAAGAAAACTGTTTTAAAAATAAACAAGGTCGCAGTTTTGGGGTCTTTCCCGTTGCACAGTTGTTTCATCGTGTATTTACATAAATACGGGGCGAGTTTTGCATGCACACTTTGTTTGTTACTGTTCAAACAGTTCTTTGTTTGTCGAGACCAGTGCTGGCCGTGTGTTCCGACCACCAAATGGATTGCATCATCTATTAAAACGGAATAACGTGTTACATTCACAGCACAGATTATCTATAAAAATATGCAGAAATACAAACACTTGCTTACCAAGCTAACACGATTTGTCAAATTATATCTTATTTTTAGCCGCTGTCGTTTAAGTTTACTTTTGCCTAACTGACACATATTTTGATACAGTTCGTATAGACGATACAGCATCTGCCAATTAGACTAATTGAAAGTTATCCAGATGTGACCAAACATAGCCTAAATAATAAAATTAAAAGTCCGTAAAATGTTTGACAGTTTCTGTGCTGTTTGTGTTTTCGTTTAGTTTAGCAAACAGCGCTACGCATTGCTTTAAGTTTTATAAAAATGTTCGGTTTACAGTCAAAGTGAAGCCCTGGGGTAGTAATTAGCTATGTTTACGTTTTAACTGCAATTCAAATTAAAGACTCAATCCGCGACTTTCTGACGTCTTTAGTACGGTTGTGTGAATATTTTGCGTTTGCCTTAAGTAACAGAAACAACTTACTAACATTCTCAAAATCAAAAAAAAGAATTTGTTTTCGCTGGGGATAAAAGTTCACAACTACATATATAGTTCATGCTCAAAGTGAAACTTCATTTGCGACAAAATGATATGTTTGGTAAACATATTAAAAGTACTTTAATATTTCTTGAAACTTGACACTTAAATTCAACAATTTTCTGGTGACTGTGGACAATAGTGTGTTCTCATTCCCAAACCTTATATTTAACATCGCCGTAGGTATCATTTACGCAAATTAAATAGAACCGAACCGTCTCGTTGAAAAGAAACCATTTTCTTATTCTTCCCTCAGGCAGTTTATTTCCCCCGCTGTCACCGGTCATTATGTCACTGTGAAAATAAAATATCATACTGGCTGTTGCGTACAAGAGAAATGTTTTTTTTTATATATCAATAGGAATTATATGTAAAACCTTTTTAATGATTCTTGTTTGTTCTAAAATATGACATTGAACATTAAACTGTCTGTCTTGCACTGTCTTTAACTGTATAAATTGCAGAGAAATTTTGAAACAAGATGTTAAGTAAACTAAAACCTAATCAATCACTGTTAGAGACTGCTACCAGATATTAAGTACAATGCGTCACACTAAACAAACAAAATAAATGTATTCTAAAGGTAAAAAAGCGTAACAAAACTACTCTTACCCTTTCATAATAAATAGCAATACATCACATCGAAGACTCGTTAATTCGTTATCGTGTAATCCTAGGCAAAACAAGATAGCAATTTTAGTTCAGCGGCGTTTTGCCGTCCATTTACTCTCACTTGTTAGGGGCGCCCTGAAAAAACCTCGCCGCAGTAATCTTAATTACATTGTGATCTCGTTACAGCTCGGCCTTAATTCATAATTAAATAGGGACGTGTCCCAACGTTGCTTATTTATTTGCTATTTTATGGTTTTGCGATTGCCCCTCTTTTTTTCTGCCATGAAAATTAAGGCAGTGCCCTTTTTGTGACACCCCTTCTCCTTTGTTGCCCTGAATATTCATTTGGTGCCTATCGGCGGAATGGCGACTCGTTTTAAAAAAAGTATTTTTTATGTTCTCTCTTTGTGTTGTACTGCAAACACTTTATGCTGTGAAAATATTGAAGGAAAACTCCAAGCCTCTGTTTTTTACAAAATGTTTTATGAGTTATTAAGGTCGTTGGAAAAGGTAAATAAACGATTTCAAATAAAGAATAAAGTTCATTGCATCATGTTTAAAAAAATATTCACTTTCGTTTCTCAACAGAGGTACTCTCGTTAAAATTACCAGTGTCAGAAGGAACACGTTTGTAGAAAACACACTAATCAACCCTCGTCCTCTTTGAGCGGGTCATTAATGTCCAAATCAAGTAATTAATTATGTTTCCCGTTTTTTCCTCATTTTCTTGACGTTTCTTGTAAAAACGCAAAGGGTCTGTCTTGTGAAGATCAATCAAATCAGAAGATGTTGTCCGGGGACTGCGTTTACCACTACTTAAGCATTTACGAGCTTGTCTTACGGAGTTACGACTTCGCTTGCACAGGTTGACTGCTGATCTTATTTGGAAGAATTTACGATCTATTCGGTCCCTTTTTTCTTATTCATTGGAGTACCTAATTGTTATTTTCTTTTTAAATTGCTTTACGCAGCAGAAACCGTTAAATTAGCCGACTAAATTATAAATAGCCTACTGTTTTATATTCGAATGACGCCCCCAAGACGAGAATAACTTATTTAGTTAAGTACCTTTAAATGGTTCTAGTTGTGAGATATTTGCGTATTGTGAGTGCTAAGCGCGTACGCAAATAATGCGGCCGCGTTTATTGACTTCGTTACTACATAGTCTAGTTGCTAATAGAACAATTATCATCAATTCGACTTACTAATTAAGCCACGAAAACAAAGTATATTAATTTCGAAGTTAAATTAAAATAACTAAGGGTATTAATATAACAGTTGTTATAAAACAAAATATGATACAACCGCTTGGTCTGTCGATTTCATTCCCAGAAAATTCAGTAATCAATCAAATGATCTCATAAAGATATTCATTGCCGGGCACTTACTATTTTACTGCTAGTTTTAGGGGGTAATAAAACCATTTGGCTATCTTATTTTACGATTTCCTACCACGAACACGAGCGGGGCGTCTATTCAAACAAAAACTTATGGTACGTGTGATTTAAGACATAGTTACAGATGGGCTGGGATGTTTACTGTACACCATTCCAGCGGTATCATTATTACATTTATTTGCTATTACAACTTTCAATATCAAATGTGAGTTTTAATTTATTCAGGAGAGTTTTTGTTATTCCTTGCCGTTTTAGCTTTAAAGTAATACAATAAAATATAGTAATAAAATAAATACTATAATAAAGAAATACGCATTTTTTAAACAATCGCTCACAATTTATTACCTTTGCTAATTAGAACAAAACCCCTGCTATACCTACTTAATTACGGATTAACGGATAACAATATTTATTTCAATGAATAATGTTCTTAAGGCAAATGGCTGGAAGTTGCGAAGCGATTCAGGCCCAGAGAGGGCCACTATTAAAAGTTTACCGGCGCAAAGTTGTCCCATTCTTATGCATGGATAAATTAGCACCTCGCTAAGTAAAGTGTGGATGTTCGACCACTTTTATTCTCGAATATTCTTCGAAGAATTCAACTGTTATGGACTTTTTAATAGTCATTCCATATAACATTGTTTTAAATATAATTCCTAAGTTAATTTATGTAGTAATTAACGTATTATAATAACATCAATTCTACTCCCAATAAAAAACCTTTGCATTTAGTAATAAAGTTTTTGTTCCCTTTCTTATAACTACAAACAATACACCACAAGTAAACAAACTAACCGAAATCAAAATAAAATATCAATATTATTTATACCTTACCATTTGTAGTAGCAAAACCCTCGTCCCTTCAACGTTTACGTTTACGACATTTTTACATGTATACCTTTGAAGTTTATGAGGTATCTTGCAGGTTTCGAGTGTAATATTACCTACAGTAGATGTCTTAAAACGGTGAACAACACTAAGTTTATCGATTCGTCTGTCTTGTGCACGTATCGCCAAACCAATTTCCTGCACCTGATTTTTACAACTTTTCACAAGAGATAAGAGGCAGTTGTAGTTTTATTTTCAAATAAGATAACCACAGAGGTTTAAAGCTACGGCTTATTCTTTTCAGTAAATTTCAAAGAGTAAAAACAAATAATTTTAATACTTCACTATTCGTATAGGGTAACAATAAATCGATGAATCGTAAAAATCTGTCACTAACAAACCCAACCACAAATTATGTTAACATGATGAAACCTTATACAATACAAAGGGACAATTAATTTTAATGTTTCTATCTCCGTTTTATTGTACCAGCCTAGTATTTACATTTAATTCACGAATAACGACCACAACATAATTCGGAACTAATTATACTACCCACATTTAGCACACAAATAATTTCTACACAATGCCAATTATTAAAGCCTTAATGATGAACCAATGCTATGAATTCTGTAATTCTATTTATGATGGTCGAACTATTCGTTATTCCGAATAACTGGTTCGGAAGTAGCTTACAATCTGTATCAAGTAATATCATTGATGGTCGGCAATGAAATACAATATTCCACTGGACTGCCAATTAAAAGTTTCAACGAATCGACTCCAACGATTTCTGGTGTAATAATGCTCTTGAAATTTTAACGGCGGATGCAACTCTAAGTGCGGTGCAAGCCATAAGAATCAATTATGGCGTATTGTTTTATTCAAACTTTTTGTTGGGAACAATTTCCGATGAGCTGGTATTGTTTTTCATTGATTTTGTTATCCTGCTTTTGTGGTGGATAACTTGTAGTTGTTTGTTATTTGATATTATAATATTAAGTCGCACTCGCCACTAAGATTGTATGAAAGAAGTTTTTTATAACTAACAATTTTTTATTTTTGTAAAATCCAATCTTTTAAAAATAATTTTTATATTAGACTTATTTTTTCCATGACAACAAACAGTTAACATCTTGACTACTTTTAAAAATCATCATTGTTGTCAAACACAAGTTGTTCACTACTGATACACGTTCTAGGACAATTAAACATTGAAATGATATAAAGAAATTAGACTAGCATACTTATTGGAACTTAACAAAATTCACTAATAATATACACATAACACTACCAGCTTGGTAACCTTAAAAGAAATGCTTTTATCCCGGGCATAGTCGCCGGCGCAGCTTGTTGCAATAAATATCGCCGCTACACTAGAACTTGTACCTCGTACCCGCGGTACTGAAACTTTCATCGAGTTGCTACTGAACATCCCACTAAATCGCGATTGTTATTAGTTCAAGACTTCCGATACTTTCGGATATTTCTCAACTATGAAAGTACGTTCGTGGCTTTCTCAAATAATGAACTTAAAGAGTCATTCGAAAATATTGCATTTTCTATCAATTAAGGGACTTATATACAATTCCAACCGTCAAATATTATGTAGTTTTAAAAATGGTATCTTGAAGTTTTAAAATTGAAATATTTTTGTAACTTTTAAACTGGTATAAAAACGACAATTTCTTATTTTCTATTTCCATTTGAACATTTACAACTAAGATTAGAGACACGACAAAGACATAAGATTTGAGTTTTCTTTTTACAATAAAGTAAATCTCATTGAAAATGTTCCGTCGTTCTACGTTATCTTAAAAATGTTGTGAGCGTTTAGCTTGGCAAGACGAGAAATGTAACACGATTATTATAAGATTTTATAACGATCCGCTCGAGTATCTTTACTGAGCTACTTAACACAGTATTAATTTATAAAATAATACTACAAAAGTTTCAATTTATCCTCTCATGTGAACGTTGACGTTTCCAATACATTTTAGTACAGATAAAATAAATATTTGTGCCAAGTTTTCCTGCATCACGAAATCGATTACGCTGTAGGCTCATGGGGTGCCATTCCTTTGATATTCGCTCCGTCATTGTCTGCCTACTGCCGACGCAACTTATATGTCAAAGTAAATACTAACAAATTCTTTTCAATATGTACTAAAATTGTTTGTTTGTGTGCAATGTTTCTCAAACTCTGTTTAGATTTAACAGACTCATAGTATTGTACTCATCACCACATATATACCTAAACTATATAAGGAATCAGTTGCAACATTCATTTAAAAAGGAAATTTTTCAATTTCCTACACCACCACGACATAAAGTCTCCTAGACAGGTAACCAACCAATATTAAAAATAAAATAACCTCGGCTCACAACGACTAAGCACTAAAAACATTTTAGAAAAGTTTCTTTTAAAAAGAAATAAAACCTTAACAATAATAGCATAATCCTTAACAGATGTTAAAAAGTAAGACGTGGATCTTAAACGGGTAATACCCCCGTTCTGATGGGTCGAGCCTGACCTGTACGCCACAAGCGGATTACAGTATGTCGTTTCCTTAGTGACGATGCGGCCGACGTCGCTCGTCGTAGGGGCGTTTGTCAACGCACCCTAAGCAGATACTTAGAGCGTTCAGGTACATTTGACTCGTGTTAAGTTTACTTCAACGTGCCAATATTAGTGTTCGGTTACAGGGGCGTTACATGATTACAAATTCCGATGCTCGTAATGTGTTTGAAGTTGCTTAGTTATGTTACATTCCCGAATTAGGTTTGCTTGTAGTGATTACAAGCGAAATTTCTTAGTTGCAGTTATTTACTTGAATCTTTGTTTCTGATGCCTTTATTCATTGACACTAATTCAAAATTCTAATCATAAAAAAGACAAATAAACAATTGCCAAAACTTAATAAAAGTTAGAAAAGGAAACATTTGGATAAAAATATAGGTTAAATTAACCACTTAACCTAAGCCTTCGTTTGAGGAAAAACGTTTTTTTTTTATCTTTAATAAAGCAAACAAATGCTGTAATTCTTTTAAACATAATGCTTAGCTGTGCTCCGCAATTTACAGCTCGATAATTTTACCGTAAACAAGTTTGAAAATACTTGTAGTCCGAACGGTAGTGAAGGCAAATCTCCTCTTATTTTATCAATTTACGGCAGTACTTTAGATAGCAAGATTATGTTACTCGATACCCGTTTTAATATCTTAATTTATATTGCACCTGAGTTTAATGTGCACGAGAAATTACTACGTGAAAGTTGTAATAAGTTAGAATTAAATGTTATTTATTCAATGTGTACCATGAGATAGCGTTGATAGGTCAAAGTAGATGTCAACACAAGTGTGGACGTTGTTATAGTTAATGATATGGCATCGTAGACGCGGCCAACTGAGAAATAGTGTTTCAATAAACACGGCCGGCGCGATCACCGGGAAAATTGACCGATTCCGGGAAATCCTCACAGGAAAAATGTCATACGATAGCTTTTTTTTCTATCCAAAGAACCAAGCCAAGATTTAATATTTATGGATGAAATGTGAGACGAAGCGGATGATTTAAAGTGCCTGATGTGGAAATCGTTCCTCGCAGATTTTCTGACCCAGCGAAAGTAATGTCCTTCTTTACGTTTTACGTACCAGTTGTTTTCTTTCGTGAGAAGAGAAAATACCGAAATGTACCTTCGAGGTGGGCGAGCGTGTGCGACGATTTATTCCTCCCTTTACAAGTCACTTTGGAAAAATATTTTTTTATTTGTTTATTTACGGAGATTTGCTCCTTTTGATGTCGATTCTAACGAAATTCGGTTGTTCAAAAATATCATATCTGTATACCTACCTTTTCTTTTAGTTAGTTCTTTGTTTTTTTTCTTATACAGATTTGATCATTCGATTGTATTTTGTTTTTGGTTGGCTAAAGGGCCGTATCAATATTTATTTAACGAAACTGCTTGTATAATTATTGATATTTCTCCGCCCTGACTTCAAATCCGATTTTATCATTCAGTTCTGTTGAAATAAAAATAAACTTTGGCTTTCTTGCTTTAATTAATTCAAAATCACAATATTCGCAAAATCAGTAATAGTAACTTTTAATCGGACTTAAAACTAAGGTGTTAAGTAATTTAAGTAAATCTCATTATGTCCGTAGTACGTATTGTAAGTGCCACAATATTATAGTTCGTTTCGAGTTTTTCTTGCACTTTTGTCAGAGCAGCCGTTCACTTTGTCTAAACTTAACAAGGTCGAACTAATAGGCATTAGACTCATTTGTTACACCTCCACGCTTCGCCGCCCGCAAAAGAACGTAAAAAGGGAGACGGTTAGATACTCCGCAACTCCCCAAATCTTATTCGTTGTTCCAACTGAAATATCTGGGAAGATTTTCTCGAAAACATAATTATAATCGTGGAATCATTTGATAACCTTGTTTTATTACAGTTTTAAGTTGTTTGTGTGAATTGGATTGTTTTATCATTTGTTTATGATTTTTCCAATCATAAATTGCGCAGTGAGGGTTGCTCTTTTCACTTCAATGAAAAGTGAAGTGTCATACAAAGCTACAATATATTCGGGACTCGGTTCGAGCCCGCCGCCGTAATCAAAAGGCTCTCTCGGGAACAATGGCGCCCACATCGGGGTTGGGCCCGATAAGCCTCGACAATTATACTACATCGACTTTTCAATTATCCAACCGGCTCTTCCTCGCGAACAATGCTAGCTTTATTTATGTATATTAGAACGGTCATTTTGTACGCTGTGCGCCTTTTACATTCGCGTTTGTTCCGCCGGAATCGAACGCTATTTGATTACGGATCATCGCGTCTAAAGAACATTACGAACAACATTTTTTGCTCTTAATTATTCTTTTCATATTTTCCTAGAGATTATATACAATTTTTTGTTTATTTCGCAGGTGAAACTTGAACAGAATGTTGGCAAACCGTCGCGAGTCATCCACATACGGAACATACCCAACGAGACGACAGAAGCCGAGATCATACAACTGGGTCTACCCTTCGGCAGGGTCACTAATGTACTCGTGCTTAAAGGCAAAAACCAGGTAAGATATTACATTTGTTCTCGGTAAATTGGTTTGTAAAGGTAATCCTTTTAATTAGGGTACTTACTGAATTTGAATGTAAGAGATTTTGGTTAACAAGGGACAACTTGTTTGACACAATTACGTATTACGTACTTACATGAAAGCCAGAAACTTAACTTGTAATATTCATGTCATGTTTTAGTTTCAATTGCCTAAACTGTCTAGGCATAGTCAAACCACTCCTGACAAAATTTTCTGTTCGTCTCATCTGTATAATGCTAGTATGATAACTAAATATGGTGTTAATCAAGTTAAAGTTTGGGACAGCTCCCGTCAGCCACTAAGGCAGATTACCCAAACTCAGGCCACGTAACCGATCAGGCCTCATTTAACAAATGAAGTCGGCCATATAGCTACTCTAGGCACAATGGCGCTCGCCTCCGCCGGAAGCACAACAAGTGGCAGGCACGGCTTGTCCGCAAATAGGCCGCTAAGCATTGTCGCAGTCTACCCCTACCCGTGTTTTATTGTAACTGCAGTATTAGGAGACAAAGGATGACTGATGAGGATTTGCCCGATGCCACGCTAATGACTACTGCTGAGATGATCCATTATTCCATGTCGAACGTTGATAGAGAGCTTGTACTTATCATCCTTCTAACGAATAACTGCCCAATTGTAACAAGTCGTAGAAAAAAAATTCTAAATTATATCTTAATATTATCTTCACCAAACAACAAAAACGAACCCAAATATTGAAGACGCACGATAAATGACGCTTTGTATATTTTAAAACAAAATGTTACCCCGACGATGGAAAGCAATTTTAGTATGATCGACATCCCTACTAACCCCCGTCAAACGAGCGACGTTTATCTATTGCGGGGTCAAAATGAACGGCGAATTTGGAACAAATATTCACTCTTACATTTTAGGCCTCTTCCTCATTTTTACCAGCTTATTTTTAAAAGTACACTTCGTGAATTGAAACCCGAGGGAGAGATTGCATCTAAAATTGTACATTGCGGAAATTAAAGGCGATGACATCTAATATAAATTTCAATTTGGGTCGAGAAGGGCTCATGAATGAGTGTAGATTGAGATACGTTTGCCGTGATTGACCTCTTCGAATGATATTTTATGATCATATTTTATTACATTTCTGTATCCGCTGGTTGTCGGTCTATATTTAAACAGCTATAAAACAAAAAGGATGGTTAGCTCAAGTATGCATTATAAGTATGCGGGCTCATAACGTCCAGAAACAAGTTGCCGAGGTACAGTTAGTAATCCATCAAAAAGTATGTTCACATCATCACGCGAGCGCGAAGCACAAGCAGGTTATAAGGCGACAACCAGCCGGTTTTACTGCGTATTTAACGTCGAAACACCTACCGAGCACGTGCAATGAGAAATTTACGATTTCCCGCTGACAAATTAAAAATGAGTTAGTTTACAACCGAGAAATAAAATAATAAAAGAAAATCCTATTACGGGAACGCAGGAGGCAGCCGCGACAATGTTATCCCGTCTAATAAATAGCTCGTATGACATCCACCCTGTATAAAGCGTGCCGTGAAGGAAAACAATCTCTCTTCTACCACGAGAAACAAGTCGAATCCCTTTTTATGAACGGTCACAGCCTCTTTAGGTGAAATATTTTGTGTCCTCAAGCTAGGCTAGTACTTACTGAATTTATTTTCAAGTAAAGTTTTTTCGTTCCATTCCATTTTCCATATACGATACTTGAAATTTTATTGACATTAGGTTTGGTATATGAATAATAAGTTTAAATATCGTAAAAATATATAAAAAAAACTTGTATACAATCTTTTGGTAACATTAAAACACTGTTAGATCATATGAAACTAATCGATGTAAAGTACCGAGCGTGGTCGACGCTAGTCCTTTGACGCACTCAGAGTGGATGATGAAAAGTATCGTTGGTAGTCGATGGTTACCGAACCTGTGAGAGTCCGGTTACAAAGGCGCCATCTGTGGAGAGGTGGGCAAACATCGATGTGAGTGGGTGCGGACAATCGCCCCCACTCTCGGTGATTAAAGCGAAAGAGGCGTTGACACTATTTTACGATCGTCGCTCGCGTGACAGCTACGCTTCTATTAATTTGTGCTGCATCGATTTTGATCCCAAATATTTCGATGAGATGGGATGTCAGTTATTCTCTGGAATTGAATATAGTGGTAGTCTAAGCAATATAAAGTTTTATTAATTTATATATATAATAACACAATCCTAAAGAAAATTGGGATCTAACATTTACCTTAAATCCAATTGTATTTATGGTTTTGAGATCATACATGAAAACTGTAGTACAAATACACACATTATTGACTTTTAGTAAATACATTACATTACACGCAAATTATTTAATTGATTGTTTAACCACTGATAATAAAGCAAATACACCAAAAATACAGCACACGGACAGTTTAGTTTATATTATACGTACGTCTGAATTTGCCGCTGACCTCGGCCGCTTTTCATCGCCGTGTATAGGAATATTTTTAATTAGCCCCGGGCAAGTATTCTATTTAATTTGCGGCATAACACACACACAAAGAGCGGTGAGTTTCGTATTGTCCGATGCCAAAAACAGGATACTGCGGTTTGAAAACGAAGTGGAATAGATGAATTTACGGACAAAATGGCTGTTGAAATCATAACGCTTTTAGAGAATGAGCCAGACTACATTGAGATCAGATCAATCGCTGTGTTTCGAGTGGGTCGGGGATCGGATCCGATTAATTGGACTCCCTGGGTCAAACACAAACCTAGTATGGGTGTGCCGCATTACACTACCGCTGTTAAACATTTGTTTTCGTTCTATGATCCGATTTAATCTAACGACCAAATAAAAGAGTTAGGAACTATAATATATATTTCTCTGTGTTATCCGGCATTACACTACCTGTACCACTTTCAACTTATTGAATGATTAGAATAGTGCTCAGTTCAGATTCAGATTCGGTTCTTAGAATTAGAATTTTGCAATGATATAATAGTGTATAACCATACCTTCTTCCGTTTTTAAGAAAGTGTTAACGATAAAGTTTTATTCTAGGCATTCCTCGAAATGGCGGAGGAGATATCAGCTGTGGCGATGGTGGCGTACTTCGGTGGCTGCGTGGCGCAGCTTCGCGGCCGAGCCGTCTACGTGCAATTCTCCAACCACAAGGAACTTAAGACCGACCAAACACACAGCAATGCCGTAAGTACCCGCGTCATAAATGTGTCATTAAAGTAAATATTTCTAGAATTGAAATGATTCTTGGCTTACAAAGATGGGAAATTAATTATCTTACCCACAAATTCCACCTTCATAGTGATAATTAAATGAGCAGGAGGCCCACTTTAATCTGAAGGGATAACAGTTGCAGCTACACAGCATCGGCAAAGCTATTAATGTATAGGGCATAACATCAACTAATTAGGATTACGCTCACGGGTTCGATAGGCACAAAACGCGGGCACTCAATACGTAATAACGTAACGACAGTTCAATTAGCCCTATTACACAACAGCGGGATTATCGTGCGGTATGCGATCGGGCATTAAGGCCGATGTTACAATTGGGAAACACCCCCCGGCTGTGGCCTGCACTCGACCTGTTAATTTAATCTTTGTTGGGAACATCAAGACCCCACAATTTAGATAACGGTATTCAATAAACCCGCATGCCGCGACGGGACATAGCCGCCGACGTTGTTCCGATTTGATTGAGTTACTAAACTATTACATTTCTGTCTATACATTTGTCGTGATACCAACCGTGCGTGTCGTGACTGCTGAATAATTTCACGAAAAGTTGCCCCGTTTATGGGGTAAACGCTCGTAAATGGACGAATCAGTGCGAACTGGCGCGATTATATTGTTCGTATGGGAGTATGGGGTCTCTTGATGATTTGCGATGTTACATTATAACGACATTTCCTATTTGATAAGATAACATCGCTCTAATAAATAATTACACAGTGAACATAAAGCTCTAAACACGAAAAGCTATATTGCTTTAATCAACGTGGAATTACATTTCACTTTCAGAGTATGTAAACAACAATTTGCATTTGTTATAAAATTGTGAAATAAAACACCAAAACAATTTAATAAAGAGAATTGCATTTTCTTAATAAAACCATCTCATCTTGGAGATAAAATTCATGTCGGAGATAAAATTACTCTCCATCTTTAATAGGATGTCACTCCATCAGCTCTGTGTAATTAACGTTTACCCTTTACATCTCTAGTATTAAAAAATATGTTCAACTCTTTAATGTCGCCCTATAATGTTGATTGCTTTAGTTCACTTTATAATTTTTTTTCCTTCATCCGTTGCGAAATAATAACCAACACGTAACATCGTTTATTCCTCTCAATAACCTCTTGTAATCAAATAGACACTGAATGGATCGCCAACTTGAAACTAAACTTAGTCTGGTTAAACTGGTAACTAACCCTTTAGGAACTTATTTGTGTCTGCAGACAGGTTATGTCGCTGAATCTGCTCAGTTAACCGCACCATAACGTAAGTTAGCTAGTTCTATCCTCTAGTTTCCCGAACGCGATACAAGTTTCCGATATTCGTAGGTAGGTATTATTTTTGAAAAATGAAACTAAAATCAATGTTCGTATATTGCCATTCTGCCACAATTTATCACTATAATCAAGTAGTAATGCTCGCCGCATCGGGCCACCCTCCATAATAAGGTTTTTGGGATAACGTTACGTTTTTTAACGTAGGTAAAAAAGGAGATAAATGCCGAACATTTGTGAGTGAACCTTTCTTACCGGAGCCTCCTGGCAATAAGAAAGGAAATCAATATTTTCGGTAACAAAACACCCAATGGGAGGATTAATTAAAACGCTTAATTAGTTTCGTTTATCCACGAAACCTATCAAAAACAAACCCTCAACCATTTTGATGGCTGATAATATTGAGAAATTGTTCTTGCCTAAATTTGTGTTGCCATAATTGAGGGGATGGCACTCGATAACATGCGCAAGGGTTGGCGCCGGACCACCGGGAATATTTACCCACCGGATTGTCTACAACACAATAATAATTTGACACTAATAATATAATTTACCCTCTTTGCGGTAACACAACAATTTCATCATCCCTCACGAAAAATATAACATATTTTGTTATGTTTACAATTAACACTAGGATAATTAAGCAGTATTAGTAAGTCTAAACTAGTCATTTATTTACAAGTTTGCTCTTCACAAATATGTACACAATATGATTATTGTAACATTAAATAATGTTCGCGATACATTGTTTATTAAATAGTTGCAGGTTGTTTGATCTAATTGTCGGCATCGCAAACAGGCGTTTGTGTCAATACGTGGCTAATTAATGTGATGATTAAACTCAAAACGGATACAGCTAGGTGTCTATTATCTGTTTGCGTTAATCCCTCTTCCTCTGTAGTGGCGTGTAAATATTGATCTATAACATCTTAACCGAATTATGGTACACTCTGGGCACAAAATTCGGTTAAAGTAGATGTGGTTATTCGGTCTTTGATAGTTCTCGGGTACGGGTAATCAAACGAAATTTAGGGTACAAACTAGAAAGCAGGTGTTTCTTTACAAGATAATTAAGATAAAATGTTTCGGATTTATTATTATCTACAATAAAAAATGTTACTGGACAAAAAAGGCCGAAACCTTTTACTCCCCCATCCCATCTCCAATTCCTAAATGTACAAAATCTTAAACAATGAAACAATGAAACAATGAAACAATGAAACAATGAATTTATTTTTGCAAATAGGCCTTAAAACGGCACTTTTACACGTCAAATTATATGTGAAAAACTAGATGAAGCCGGCATTTCCTATCTGACTACTCTGAGAAGAAATGCCGAAACAAACTCAGAGGTCAGTCTCTTTTCAAGTCCAGACAATATAAAATAACATAATGTGAGAGAACCGTGCAAGTTCATTCTGTAGTGGTCTTTTGAGGAAAGAACCACACCAGTTTAAGTGGACCCGTTCTGAAGACAGGCACGCAAGTGTCAGTTTGCAACCATATAGCTAGTGCTGTTGAGTTGTCCGACGAACAATACCGATCAAAAGAACATTTGGGTGGGTCGCGCAAGTACTCAAACTGTCAGAACGCAGATGACTGGTGATAAAAAAGCACGACAAGTCTCACACGGTCCTTACACTAACAATAATATAAAATAATAAAAATGTCAACAAATAAATAAAAAAAAAAATGTCAAATAAAAAAAAAATGTCACACTATGTGATCATGTCATTGTATAAAAAAAAAAAATAAACGTAATGTCAAATTGTATATAAAAGTGTAACTTATGTTACAAACATGTCAACATGACCTGTGCAGACATTACAGCGGCTCATTCCCAAGCCTGACTATCCTCTAAGTAGTCTTTTATTTTATAAAATGCTTTACAGCAAAGTTTAGCCTTTATTACACTTTTAAATTTATTGAGGCTCAAATTTTGAATATCGCTAGGAATTTTATTGTAAAAGCGTATACATTGACACCTAAACGAACTACTTATTTTCTGAAGCCTGGAGGCAGGCACAACATATTTGTTTTTCCCCCTCGTGTTGATATTATGTATATCACTATATTTCTTAAATAAGCTTTTGTTTTTATGAGCGTGAATTACATTTTCATAAATATATTGAGAGGCAACTGTCATTATTTTAGATTCCTTAAATAATTCTCTGAGCGAATGCCTCGGACTAAGATTATAGATTGATCGAATAGCCCTTTTCTGCAGAACAAAAATAGACTGGATGTCAGCAGCATTCCCCCACAACAAAATACCGTATGACATGATGCTGTGGAAATAACCAAAATAAACTAACCGCGCTGTATCTATATCTGTTAAATTTCTAATTTTTTTAACGGCATATGCTGCAGAACTGAGCTTCTTCGACAAGCCATCTATATGTGGGCCCCACTGGAGCTTAGCGTCCAGGGTTATACCTAAAAAGACAGTTGTATCTACAGGACTCAACTCCTCGCCCTTGACAAGCACACTGGTTTTTATCTGTTTAACATTTGGTGTTGTGAATTTAATACATTTAGTTTTAGTTTCGTTTAGTAATAAGTTATTCACACCAAACCAGTGAACTATTTCTGAGAGAGCACTGTTTACATTGTCAATTAATGATTGTCGTCGTCTTAAACCCCAAAAGCCCGTCAACGCACTCGTAACTCATCCGTTGTTAGATGTGTCCATGTTATTGTTATTGTATTATTAATGCCTAGGTAATTCACGTTTAATCAGATAAATATCTCTAAAATGTATTTTTTTTACAATCAAAGGTACAGTTAAGAGATATTAAAAAACAAATCACCACATTTTCCAAAGAAAAAAAAAACTAACAGAACAAAAACGATCCATCTCCCAAAAGAATACACTTAAATTTCTCTCTTGAAAAAGGAGTCCTTATTTCGGTGCCTAGGAAGCACGAATATTATTTGACGTAGCGTCATCTGTTCGATACCTCATAATGATGTGACTTCGTCGAGTCGAGAACTCGTTACCATTACCGTCGACTTTATTCCCTGCACATTTTTCATGTACCTTTTAAACCTTTAGTACTGAGGTTTCTTTGTACCACTGCAATAGATAGCTTTTTAAAATAATGTAGGTTTGTAAGGATTTTTCTATTAAAACGGCATGTATTGTGTTTTGGAACATTATTAAAATAACACAACTTAGTTATAATAACAGTTAAATAAAATTTAATATAGAATCAAAATTATCTATACCAATATTATAAAGAGGTAAAATTTGTAAGTCTGTATGTATGTAGGGGGTAATCATTGGAACCACTGATTACCAAAATTCTTTCGCTTATTGATAGCTACAATATTCCTGAGTGCTATAGGCTATAAAACATCACGCTACAATTAGTAGAGTAGCTAGTTATACATAAAACTGTAACACATAATAAATGCAGCGTTCCGTTATACCGTTAATCTACAACAAAATACAAGTTCGGGGCATGACACTATACATGTGTATAACTACACACAGACAATGTGACTATAAAGATTTATCGCAGTCTCGTCACATTTCGGAATCTCTTTGTAGCACACTATTAAAACTTATAACGAGGCTGTTACGAATAGACAGACTAGGCTTTGTTCTTGTGATTCACATGAAATGACACGCTCTCTACGTTATTACATCACTGAGCATAATATCCAAATTTAATCGCATTAGCAGAATTTGTCTCCTGAACGCTGCAGACTTGGAGAATGACGTCGCCCAACTGCATTTTAAAGAACGTGCATTGAACGCAAAGCTTTGATCAATCATGCGACGCAAAAGGTTTTTGTGGTCGATGAATAGAACTCTCGTAGTGCGGATGGAGTTATTTTGTCGCGTCTCCTCGACGACCGATGTCTGCCAGTGGTCGCCTGTGAAAGATTGCGCGTCTCCCGAATAAGACCTTTTAAATATCTTCGAACTTCAACATAGCGAGCGCCGGTGACACGGAAAATATTTTTGATGGAATCGCATTCCTAAAATTCTTTTGTTGCGTGTTCGTTTTATGAAGACTTTTTGCTTTCGAGATTTAAATTCGAGGAAAAATAGTTCTCGCTAAAAATGGACTCTTGGAAAATATTATAATATCTACCTGTCTAAAAATCTCGTTTATTTAACATTTGTAGCATACATTTGGACGGCTGTTATTAAAACACACATTTTGTTAGTTCTAACATAGACATATCAAAGAACATGTAACAGAGAAAAAGTGGAGTGAGGGGAAACAAGTCAACGTGAATTTGTACCAGAGCCTTTGCCGTCGGCGGCAGGCTTACCATGACACGGTTAAAGCCTTATTTTTGTGTCTGGCCTGGCCGCTTGTCAGCCCGTCGTCGCACAAAGCCATGTGAAAATATAGGATCAAAGTGTGCCGCGCCCTTGCATGCGATCGTAACGTGTAAACAACACGCTGTATTTCACTCGCGTGTCATTACGTTTTTTATTTGAACCTGACGTAGATCGTGTTGAAGGCTTTTCACGTGGATATTGGTTTATTTTTTACCTGTAGGCTGCAACTGAAATGTTGAGCGTTCAACTTTGTATTTGTTTTGTTTTTGGTACTATTTCGTCAATACATTTTATTTTATTAGAATTACACACATCAAGGTATGTGGTACATTTACAACATGCATACTGGTTGGGCACATCACAAATTCGTCAAAAAACCTATCAAAAACCCGTCATTTATATGGTCAACGTATAAATGTTATCTAACGCGCTAAGCGTTCAAATTGTCGCTCTCCACAATGCCGGCCGCCCCTATATAACGACGCAACAAAGTACCGAATTGTTCGTGGACGATACAAAATAAGTTTATGACTCCCCTTTGTTTGATGTGGTCAATGTTATCTGTTGGTCTTGGACACTCGAAGGTGCCTCACGCGTGCGTCAGATAACTGTCCACTCCCCTATTACGTTTCATTGTTCGCGAAATTATGAGAGCGAAGGGCTGTTGTTTGTACATACTTTTTTCTACGTGACAATGAATGTTTTTACTTACTGAAGGACGCGGACGTCCCGAGTTGTGGGAATTAACACATTTTGTGTGCTCTTTAGATGTTGTTTGCCATTTGGAAAGAAGAAATATGCTTGACATTTTTTTTACCTTTAAGTTTAGTTGAGATTACATTAAATGGTATATGATGAACGTAACTAGAATGAATATATCGTCGGTGTACACTTGCCTATTATTTATAGGTAATATTTTTGCAGTCAGCATCGGCGCAGGCGGCGTTACAAGCAGCTCAGGCCATCTCTAACAGCGCTGGTGCAGCCCTTGTAGCTGGCGCGGGTGCAGCTCTACAGCCCGCTAATGGAGGCACAGAAATCCAGGTAAGAACAACTTTGTGTATAAGGTAATTAGATTATTAACTATCATCCGTCACTTAAGATGTTTTTATAAGATTTTTGATTGTTTAGTTAAATATCGAGAAAACAATAGCTTAAACGAACACTCCGACTGTAACTATTACATATTTCTAGAATTATTTGGTATAAAACTTATTACAGTATGTCGGTACAAATTTACGTACTTAAATACTACATTCATAGTATTCACATGTAATACTCTAGTGTACCCAAAATAATAATCTCTAACAATAGTGTTTTAAACTATACATAATTAATTTCACCTTTATCCATTAATCATCTTACCTTTCCCGATACAAAACAGTGCCCAAGTAATATTCTGTATATATATAGAAATTCTAATATAATTATGAGCCGTTGAAATAGAGCCGATTACAAAGACCTTTAAATATTAAACACTGAACTCGGTCCACAAATTAGGTTTGGGTATTCTCTGGAGGTTCTATACTAAGACGTGGAGGGTAGTGCGACGAGCATGCAGATAGACTGCTTTAAGACGTCCGACAGATTGTCGCCCGGAGGGTACGGGCTACGGATCATGCAGTTGCATCGGTCAATATACTTTAGCGACCCCACACTGTTACGCGAGTGGCGATTTTCTCTTGCACATTGCTTAGACTGAATATTCTTTAAGAAGTGAACTGATTGTAGTGTTAAAGTCTCATTGTTGTCTAGAAGTCTTTATTTACTTGGGCAGTTAACATGGTTTAGTCATAGAATATACTATTATACAGTGTTTCAAAATATAGTTTCATTTTGTTTTTCTTTGGTAGACAATAGACATACTTTACAAGCTCTGAGACAATAGACATTTTTGATCAAAGAAACAACCCTATTATTTATTGACACCCAAACTAGGCCGACATCTTTATTCGGGACCCGAGAGCTCGCACCCCTTGTAAGAATGTCGTCTATACATTTATCTTCACTGAACAAAACTAGTTCCCTCGTGTTTAAAGCGCATATTCATGTCTAATGCAATATCACACTGACATCTCACATATACCCAATGGGTTCATAACAAACATATATTGGACATATCGCGTCGCTCTTCAATGCGCCCCTGCCTTTACCAACTCCCATATATCTTAGCCTCAGTCACGAAGTGTCTGTGGGGAATTTAATTATTGATAAGCTTTTCTCATAAGCACTAATTAATGTTATTTAACCACTTTTCCGGGAAATACGTTATTATTATACTTACCTACTTTGTTCTTGATTACATTGGAATTGATGCCGCCTTTTGTTTATATAATAAAATTAACCAAATATTTTACGTAAATAATAAACTGAATGCTTGTTTATCGTGTTTTGTGTTTATTCTCTAGCACGGTAATCAGGAATAAGTTAATTCTAGGGTATATTTAATTTAATTAATATTTTGTTCCCAGGGTGGTCCCAACACAGTTCTGCGCGTGATAATAGAACACATGCTGTACCCGATCGTGCTCGACGTACTCTACTCAATCTTCCAGCGGTACGGCAAGGTGCTGAAGATCGTCACGTTCACTAAAAATAGTAAGTACTGTTGTTATTTAATACACATGTCTCCCTGATCTCGTTGACACAAAAAGCAAACACACGCAGGGTTGAATTTACGGATTATAATTACGCATATGCATATTCGTAATGTTTGCGGAAGACAGTTACATCTTCAGCGTCGAACGCAATTTTGATGGATGAGCCTCAGAACGTTGACGAGCGCGTGTGAGAGCCCCTGATGAAAAAGGAAAAGGGAGGAATAAGAAACATTACCACACGCCTCACGCACCCTCACACGATACCTCCCTCACACACCGCACCTCAGGAGGCTTCCGTTTGTTTTAACACAATTTCCAACAAAATCCACCTAATTAATTATGCAACCGCTCTGCAATTTGCTTCAAATATATTGTTTAATAAGCCTTTTGTCACAATCGCTTTGTGTCTATGGCTACCCAGGATTACAGCGGCTAAAACAACTATTATTGAATCGAAACGAGGCGAGCTTTAAAATTAATTTCGGACGGACGTGTTATAGTGATAGATTTACCAAACATAACACAGGGCCGAAATCCAAGGGCGCAATCCGTTTAAAATTTAAATCGTACCCTCATGCATATCCTAAATAAATCCGGCACACAGGAGGCAGGTAGGTAGGTACATATTTGATAAGCTCCCCTGAGCCGCGGGCAGCGTGCGGCGCGCCGGTACAGAGTGCCGACATTACAGTTCACTCTTGGCTAATTACACAGTACCTAGTCGAGAAACCTCAAATCAACTTTATTTAAAAACCCCGCTGGGCAACACCCGCAGAATTATTCAGCCAAGCGCGAAAATTGAAAGCTAAAACAATATTTCAAGCTTATTTTTTGACGACATTTTTTCTTAATTATCTCAAATTGAATGAAGTAATTAAATATAATTATGAGTTGATAAGACTGACATTGTTATGGTATACAAGGAAGAGGGGCAGGTAGAAATGAATTTACTTTATAGATAGGTACGAATTGATCTTGGGCACCAAGTTTGGTCCTCTGTAACTAATATCGTCTTGGAACCCTATGTATACTGATCGAGCTACAGATGCAATTCTCTAGAGTACCGTAGAAGTTGAATAGTGTAGACCGGGTCTCGCAAAGGAAGTGGTACGATGCCTTACACATTGACCTGTCAACACAAGCAACAAGAGACCCCAACAATATCAGCACATTTCGCAAACAATGATTACTCTGTTCAAATTTATATTATTATACTAAATCTTGTAATAAGAGCCAACAAGGAAGATGAATTACGAAATTATATTGATAACTGGAATTAGCTCAAAGAAATTTATAATTAAAGCAATAAAATTGTATACACATAAGCTTAAATAATCTCTTTGATGAAGACTATATTTTACGATCTTCAATTATGAAATACCTCTAGAGATCCGATTACTGAAATTAATGATAGATGAATTCTCATAGAGCAATGAAATCGTAAAAAAGAATTTGAGTAATTAATTTTTATCGGTCCCTCCATTAATTAAGTCGATTCGGACGCCGTTTTAGCGTCCAATGATTAACATTTAATTTGTAATATTGAAACCATTTTTTGTAAAATAAACACCAGGCATTTCTTTGTTAATATTCTTTTGGTATTAAGATGCCTTTGACCTTGGGATACTCGCAATTTAGGTATTTAAAGAAGATTAATATAACACAGTTGTTTTTCCAGCGTGGGTAGTCAGAAGTAAAATATTACAGCTTTAGTATTGTGGAAAATTTTGCACTAACTGACGAGTATCTACTGGAGACAAATTTAGGAAAGATTTTTAGTTTATTTTTAAACTCCCATAGCATATAATATAGCATAATAAATAAAAATATTTTTTCTGTACCAAAGAAAATTCGTAGTAGGTAATATTCAGCTAAAAGAATGTTGTCAAGTTTTATTTTAACCAATATTCTATTCAAACAATATTATATGTCGAGTCAAAATGAATAATTCTCATAAGAAAATTATTACTACAACCATCTGCCGTGACATTAGTCGGCATGGCTTTTTATATCTCTCTGTATACGTAATACAAGTATAAGCAGTTCAGACTCATAACTTATCAATATCATGACATCGTCCTAATGCAGCTATTCCAATTTCCGAACGTCCACCTTTCCAGAGCGGCTGTTTGCTTTTTTACTACATTCATCATTGTCCAATTGTAAAAGCTTTTGTCTCCGAACAATTTCCCGGCACCTATTCAACTTCTGAATATTCATAACGGCACCTGACTGGACGTTTAACTCTTATGGATTGTACTGTACATTGTGTTTAAGGTATATTGTAAATAGTACGAATAGACACGTATTGCTTCAACAAAGTCGATATTGTGGAATTGGATGAAGCTATGTTTAGGTAATTAATTTAGATTCGATCTAAACATATACGCCTCTTCCATACTGATCTGGTAACGGTAAATCGGATGTATAAACCTCATAATCGATCACAATCGCATCGAATACTAGACTCAAACTGAAGTAGGTTGCATATCCGAAACGTATAAATCCTTATTTCAATTATCCTGTCTCGTGAGGTAGCAAATAGAGCACCCTGCTATATCGCTCTCATTTTCGCTCTCAATACCCTCTGTGTGTCACGCACTCGCTTAGACTTGCGTACAAGTACCGATATATTGTACCTATTACTAAATTTACATAAAACGTATTCTTCATATTTATAGGAACCGGTAATATTCGTGCCTTTTACAAAATGCTTACATAATCATTTTTCAAGTTCCTCTGTCGCGGTGGAGTTATATACATAACTTTTTCCTATTAAGATGCTCAATCGCATATCCCGAATTATTCGTATAAGTCATCGCTTGAGCAGATTAAAATTGAAGGGCTTGTCAGCTATCCTTATCGCCGTGAGCACACGTGAGTTCCCAACATCGGAAATTTAATATTCCGCATTTATTTACGAGTATATTTACACATCCGACGTCTTCGTTTGGCAAAGCCACAATTTTCTTATAACATTAATCGCATAGAAGTTGTTACCGAATTTTGATTCATGTTGTTTCATGCGTGTTACTTTCATGAGTTTCTTCGAAGTTTGCCTGATGAATATTCTGCTATGTTTATATCGTGTTAATATTAAATGCGGCGAAGAGGGACGTTTATAATACGTTTGGTTCCTCTGGTGGCGCGTCGTCCACGGCTGACGGGAGGTTACCATCAAACGCGTTCCTAATCCCGAAACAAATCTCAATGAAGAGCGCGCGGAGTCGCCGTAATCCTACACCTCCCCCCGGCGTCGAGCCCTTGCCCCGCAACCTGCCCCTATTGGCTTTATTAAGGTGTAGCAGACCGCTACAATTATTATGCGTCCCCTGTTTGCGGTAGGTGTCGTGTCTATGTCGTCGTTAGATTCCCTTAATTAAGGATTTGATTCGTCTACAGATATCATCTTTGCGGCGTCTTAGTTTTCGCAGAAACACAGGGAGCTTATTTACATACTCCCGTGAATACCAACGCGCCTCAGCTGATTGTGCTGACATAACATTTTAAGGAATAACCTGAACGTGTTCTTGAAGTCTAAGTGCACCATTGCTAACGATGTTACAGAACAAGTATTTAGCAATTCGCAAGTAGTATCCGAGTGTCGGGGCGAAGGTTAGTTGAAAAGGCGCGTAAATTGCGAACGAGGACGCATTCAAGCTTGACAGGGCTCGCTCATTTCAGGGGAGCCGTCGAGAAGATTTAAGATATCAAATTATACTGTAATCGGTCGGCCGGCGCACCGCCCTGCCCCACCGCTTAATATTAACATAGCGGAAGCCACCTCTTTGCTACACAGCGAAACGTGGATTACGAAATTTTAATTTTACCACAACTCCCATCTTGTTTTTGGGCAGACATTGACGTTTAAATATTCCATAAAGTAATTGCGCATTCGGCTTGAATTTTTAATGAAACATAATGAAGCGGCGCGTACGCTACGGATTGATTGAGATTTGAATTTCTTGCGCGCAATCGGAGCCGCAAGCAACGTTATTGAATTAGCGCTTGAATATTTCAGCTTGGATAAATAAAACAGAGCAAAGGGCACAATTATTTTGGGAAACTTCAATTTTCATCACTGGCTAAAGTGCATAAAACTTTTTGTGTCAACAGCTTGAGAACGAATGGGTTTGATTTAAATTCATATTTATTGTTCGCCTGAATAATTGATTAAAAGTTTATTCTGGCTACAGTTTTGTGTGCTTTTAAGTTAAGCTATGTACACCGAGTTATTTAGAATATGATTCAGAAAGAACAGAAATACGATATTTGAAAGGTATTTTTGTAAACACGTTAAACGCACAACAAAAGTATGTTAAACAATGTAGTATCATTTCCCATTACATGTAATGTTCGTAACAGAATCAACCCTACACAGCTAATTAAACCGAATTTCCTAATAAAATTATAACATCAAACGAATATATGTAGCAAAATATGTCGATAACATACGCAAGGAGCTCCAGGCTAAATTGTAACATGCCCGTGTTTCGACGTACCACAGATAACGAATAAATAAAAAAATATAACAATTTGTACGTATTCGGAATAAAGCAAAATCTCAAGGTACACGTAACGTACTCTTTTGTTTACTCGAATTAAATAAAGAGAAACGGCTTTGTAGGTTTATGTACTCGTTACAAGGATTCCATTTTTAAGCCTTTATTTAATGTTTGCTATCAGGTGGATTTAGCGATGTTTTGACTTATCGATAGAAGTTTTTTATTAATTAAACCACACCCAATGTAACGTATATATGCATATAATTGTATTCGGAGGACAAATAAATAATAGCTACTCGCTGTTTGGTGTTTAACTTACACTTATAAAATTATACACTTTTTTATGTATATATTTTATGTATATTTGAAATCTCTGGATAAAAAAATCCATACCACGTATAAAGTGAAAACATTTTTCAGCATACCAAGCAACCCTCACTTACATTTCCCTTTGTTTTCTTGAGCTCGGTGCATACGAACTAACTAAATATTACGTTCAAGTGACCATCTCCATTGTTCTCATAAAAAAACTTTTTGCTTATTCACTATGTAATTACATAAAAAGTCCAATTTGCGGTAAGCCTTTTATGCATTCCATTTTAACGGTCCCAAATGGGCCCAAGAAAATATGGAGCCTTAAAGAGCATTTAACTATGTATGAAGGAGACACCGCGTTACTTTTAATTTACGTCGACGTTTCCTACCTTGAGTGGGTCTACGTTCTATATTTTATAGGTGCAGGCAAATTGTTGAGGCACTGGTCGAGTCTAATAACAAATTGTGCTACCTCTTGTTTGTTGTTCAGCTTCATATTTTACACAATATGATATTTTCCTTGTTCTCATATTTTCTTCTTGTAATTGAACTACTTTTTTGTGAGGGCTCAGCTTCATCGATAACCCTTCAATGTTTTATATCTAGGAGAAAAATAATTAAATCTAAACTAAGATTCAACGGACTAGAACGATGATATAAAAGGTAGATGTACATTGAACTGTATTCTCTTAATAAAATAAAATCCACTGTTACAAGGTTAGCTTTTATTTGTATTAAAATATTCGGCAGATATAAAGTAGGCTTTGAGGAGTTTTAAAACACCGAAGCAACCTCAGAATAACGATATAACGAGCTCAACACTGCCTTAAGTGAAACAGAGGCTGTGTCACACCGTCTAATGGTACGTAATGTGGCCAACGCAGGTGCTACCCACCCGAACGATGTTTCCTAAAAATGTGAATTTATGTTCTCACCCAGCGGACGGCAATGATCGCCCGGCTCATGCCTTAAATTAGGGGGTTTACCGCTTATCCTCGCACTAAATATACTCCACCAACTATATTACTTGTGGGACCATTCCAGTTAAATGTGCTCCCACACTTTCCACGTTGTTTACGCACTCGTTTTCGTGATTAATGGCTTTTTTGTCATTGATTAACTCCAGAGAATACCTGTTATACTCGTAACAATATTTTATTGTCAATAGCCCCGAAATAAGGCAGTTTTACACGCCACCGCATCAAAGTTTCACTAGGTGAGCGAGTGGTACAACGTGACAGAAGCAATAAATTCCTACTTTCCGAGTTTATGACGAAAGTAAAATAGGCATGAAACTTGTTTAGTGAAATATACGCTAAAGTGTTGATGATAAAATAGCTGCGGTGCACCTGCGACTAACTCGCTACGAGTTCGAGGATCGCGGGCGCCCCACGTTGGGCGCCAATTTCACCTTGTTTGAACGTTCTTGTGAACAAGATATTGCCTGTCAAGAATTCCGTGAGACATCCAACACTCGAGTACTCTAGAGAAAATTGTTTTACGACTACGAAAATTGTTATAAAAATAATGTAACTTTACAATACCCAACAGTATGATCTCGTCCCCGGTGGTTTTAATACAGTCGTTGAGAATACAATTACTCCATAGCCCTTTTGACATGTCTCAGTTATGATAGTACTTTTTATGTGATTCGTCATAAACGAAAATCTGTAGAGCATTTTGAGCTCATAAATGTTAAGTTATCTGTCATATTTATAACAATTTTGTTTTAGTAAATAAATAACTCAGTTTCTAATAAGAATATTGAATAAAATTCAACAGTTAAGACGTCTAGACGGTTTAGAACTTCTTAGTATTTTCAAAAGTTTATAAAATGTAACTCCAATCACGATACCTTCTTAACAGAAACAATTTCGCTTTATTAAATAAAATACACTACAACCCTATATTTTAATTAAAGATCTAAAAACGTCGAGAATACGTTTACTCAAGTTTTATTTTCAAAGAAAGATCAACGAGTTTTGCAGTTCTTTTTCAACACTTCCAGTTCTCATTAGTCCTAATCCGGAGTCTATTTTGTTTACAGATTCATTCCAAGCGCTCATTCAGTATCCAGACACGGTATCGGCGCAAACGGCAAAAACGGTAAGTAAAAAGACTTTTGTTTTTATTGAACTGTTTGTAAAGTAATGCCATAAAACAAAGTTCCTATTGCCGCACGTTTCATTCACTTTAATGACTCTCCAACTATCTTGAAATGAAGTGACTCCTCGTATTTACTTCTCTTCAACTGTGTACCTGCAGAACTTTTTCATATCACTCCAGTTTAAAAAACACGATAAAACACAAATGTTTGCGTAACATTGTTAACTGTAAAAAAAGTTTGAATAAACGAAAAAAACCCAACTGAATCAGTCCATTTAGAGTATGGACGCCCTCAAAGCATTAAAGTTCCGTGTACGTTTGTCCGCGGCTTACCTACTACAAAGCTTTAACAACACCAGAGCGTTTATGTGCATTTAATAACAATAATATCGAGAAACAACATGGCAGCCGCGAGTCCACGACAATAGTCGGCGTCCGACTCGCCGAGTGGGACATCATTTTTCTCGGCTCAACTTTTCCCATTCGCTATTCATTTGCGTTAGAAGTTGGGCGGCCGCCTACTGCAGCGACTGTTTTAACTTTATTTCTGATGCAGCGTTCAGGGCAAATTAAATTTCGTTTTGCGGCTTCCGCAAACTCGCTTTACGAGTATAATTATCGAGTTTTTGTTTTTTTTTTCGTTGCCATACGGTTATGAATCGCTGAACGTAACTTTGTTTCCGACCGATGGCGACTGAGTTTCGCTTTTTGATTTTTATCATTCGTACGCAACAACTCGTGCAAAAGTTTTCTTTTCTTTTGTTATATTCAGAAGTCTCGTGTATACGAATACAAACAAAACAATTCGTAACAGGGATAATAACAGCACAGAAGATAATTTTAGTGTGCTTGTTAGTCCATTCATTTGTCGAATTTGTCTGTAATACCTCGCGGCGTAGGTACAATTCGCTAATGAATTCTACAATAGCGAGTCGACTATCCGTCCTAATTAGTCGCTCTTTACGCCCAATTCCTGTGGAGCTTAATACGATTGGTATAAGCTGCAAACTGGCAGCGCGTTGCAACACAATGACACAGGTTTCACAGTTAACGGTTTGTACCGCGCTCAGCTTATGACTTAGCCTTACAAATTAATGTTGGGTAGCGGGGAAACCCTTCGTGAAATTGAGATATCACCGGCAGAGCAGAGTGGTGAAAACTTAGCAACGCTAAGTCCCATCAACTGTGTCCTGATTGGAGTCGAGCATAGGACCGTGTCGGCGCGCCGACTGCTGCAGCCGGATCAAATACGGCTTTATTTTTAGCTGTAATAAACGCGGATTCTCCTATTTGGTATTATGTTAAAATTGATTTCTACACTTTCAACTGTTACATTGTATTTTATGTGAGTTGTACATTTACATTTTACTCTGTAGATGGATCTATTGTTAAATACAACTGACTTATTTAATAACAACACATAGCTTCTTAAAAAAATGTTTTAGTATTGTATTCAGGATACTCTTAGATGTTTTACGTATTGCGCAATGATCAACAAACGAAAAAAGATTAAAATTTAAAGACCACTTCTTCCAAATTGAATCGTATTTTAAAAGTAATTGAAATGTGGATAGCGTACTTTAATCCGAGTGTCAGCGCAATAACATTGGTTTAGTTGGTACTCCAGTTCCGGCAGTGGTCGCGACGGCAATAAGTCTGCTCTCGTTAACGGATCTAAGGGGTCTAAGGTCGTAACTCGCTAGTCCGTAACTCCGATGCCACCTAACGAGCATACAATGTCGGCTACTACATTTATTTTTATTGCTCCTCCTGTTTATTGCAATGCTACATGCAATCGGCATGTTCTTCTTAATCATTATTTATTTTATGAGGATATTATTCTTTTCCATTTTCTAATTCGGCGGAATTTTTATTGCTTTCTTTTCCTTAATGTTCGCAACAACACATAACAACATGAAATAAACTTAAATCTTAACAAACAAAACTTGAAGTAAGCGTTCTTAACTAGTTTAAAGTTGTTGTTAAATATACTATACATACAAGAGTGAGTGAGACTATACATACAACAACTTAAACGAACTGAACGGTAGCCGTCTCAGTACCGTGTAGGCGCTCGTTTCGGACTCGGTTTTTTCTCGAAATGGAATTAAAACGTCCCGCGAGGTAAGTGGCAGCACAAGTAAGAGGTACAAAGTGAAGTGAAGCCGGATAGTGCTCCAGCCACAAAGGGCACAGTTGGATGTTAGGAGCTCTGAAATCCCCCGATCCCGGCTCTATGATCCTTGACATAAATCTCTAACCTCGCCATCAAATCTTTTCAGAAGGCGGCTTATGCGCCCAGACACGAAATGTACGCTCTTAATGCGCTCGACTACATGTACTTACAGTCATGTAAATGTACATAAATACCTGTGCCGTATACATGCGTTTCACTTTGCTTACTCAAACTTTAGTTTGGCAAAGTGCACCGAATTCAGAGAAGTCTTAATGATGTATTTCTGTCTTTTAATAGTAAGAACGGCATATCAATTCTAGATGAAGATAAGGTAGTGAGGTTAGTAACAGCAGAGCAAGCTTCAGTGAGACAGTCATTAGTGTAGTGGTTGTATCGTAGACCGTTAATCAGAACCTTGGCCGCTCCATCAGTAAGTTATGATTGATAACAATGTGATTCATGCGGCCCTCCGGCCTGCTACTCCAGCCTCATCCATAACGTGGCCGACGCTGTCACAGACAATCCATATTAGCAGTCCGAGGTGCGTCCCCACCTATTGTTTACATCACACGCTATTTTTCATCACTCGTACTGATGTAGGTATATGCACACCTGGATTACATCATGTTACATTCAAATATTTTTTCATTACCCTCTGAATATAGGTATTTCCGATTCGTTTCACCCGTTTTGTTGCGCGAATAAATAAAATATGAATCGCTTCCAATATCATAAATAATTGTCAAATTCATACAGCGCAGTCTATTTGCATGAATTATTGTCATAAAAAAGTAATACGTGTCAGTAACAGCCGTTCGTATTTTTCATATAAGTAAACGAGGTAAACTTGACGAGACTTCGTCTCCAAGGTTCAATAAGGCGAAATCCGAGATACCGTTTATGGACTCAAGGTGCGGGCTTTGTTTACATTTTAAAATTGCACTTTGCACTGCGGCAACGTCTAACCGGTGTCTTTGTGTCAACACTGGGACGTGTTCAAACAATGTAACCGTCAAAAATGTTATATCTTCGCCTTGAGCGAGTTTGTAATACTTGCACTGAACGAATCTGGAGCACTAAAACTATCTACTGAAACATATCAATGTACCATCGAAGGAAATTTTATTCGTTGCCTCAGAACACTTGGCTCTATTTGAAATATTGCTATTGACATCACAAAATACATTGTATCCAAGTTCTAAACTACCTATAGTCTAGTTTGCACTGTGCTAGTGACGGTCAAACTTCATAGAAATTTCACGGCGGCTAACAAACAGTTCGTCGTTCACCTGCACCTAGGTCCGAGTCCCGTTTAAAATTGCACGTGCCATCGCCCACCCCTGTTTGGAGTCCTCAGACTGTGTCAACAACGCTTGAGCTGCACTCTGCATCACCTAGTTACGTGTCAAACATTGTTTAGCAGTTGTTTTGTTAGTGTTCTGTGGCTGGTTTGCTTACCGTAATCAAGAGGCACTGACAATCAACACCGCGACTAGTTTTAAAGTTTGTTAAAGTTTGGCCACTCTGCTTTATTCGGCTGCTCGGCAATAAAGCCGCCTGTAGGCTGTATTACACGCTCATACCGCATTGTACATAGGTAAAACAATGCCATTATGTTTCATGAACAATATATTGTTCATGGACAAAACCGATTCACGCCTTTCCCCCGCGGCTATAGTGGCAGAGTTCATTATTCATGATGTCACAATGTACATACATTTAGCACCAATTTAGTTTCGTTTCCAAAGCAAACTGAAACGGTGTGTTAAGTGGGCGCGGTTGTTGAGCTATCGTCACTCGATTTTCGTTCGTCACTATCAGTCAACCACAATTAGGGGTAACCGCGAGTATTAATTACATTGTCTAATGGAGCGAACGCGGTTTGTTCGGTGACGCGTCCCCAAATGTGTACCTACGTTACGTAATTAGGTTAGAGCCACTATCAAAACTTAATTTATTATTTCCCCTTTTACTAAACTCCGCTTTACGCAGTAAATTTTGCGGAATACTCTCACGAGTCAAATGTTCCTTTGTTTGTAAGTTCCTACTTTGATTCTAACTGCCATTGACAAAATGTTGTTTATCTCTACTGCACAACACATAATTTAATTTTGTTTTACTAGTCAAATATAACGGTTTTACGTTTGAAGTTGGATTCATTTTTGGGTAAAAAAATGAAACCATTTTAATTTTTATGCCAACAAACCAAAAAGAAATTACTCAAAGTGCCATTCGTCACAGTGCAATCTCATTTTGTGCCGATTTAAATTTTTAAATGCTTTTCCAATAGCAAAAACGAAGTGATTAAAATGAGCAATTTTGCAGTAGTTTTTGATTGTTGGTATATTTTTATGAATAGTTAAAAGCTTGCTGTTGGTGTGGGCGTTTTAGTGCAGTACCGTCGCTGCCGTCGAGACTGCCCGTCCCGATAAGTGATCCTTTATCCGTAGCTAATCGAGCGAATGTCTACCCGTCCAAAACAAAATTGTTTAGTGAACCAACCGAACTATACTAAATTAAAACATTGGAATACCGATCTACATTACACCACTATTAACGCAAATTAAAAATAGTACAAAAGCGTGGCAGTTGATAAAAATGATACGTCCGAAACGTTTTCATTACAATTTCTCTGACGTCATCTGCGGACAAAAACCAAATGCATTGCGGCACTAGCGTAATCCTTGCACCGGCAACAGAAGCACTCTGAGCTATGTGGGCTCTTATAAATATTAAACGCGGCGAGCTCGGGACCCCAACAAAAACGTTTATCTGGTCTCCGTGGAAAAACCGCCAGAATTAGCAACGGAGGGGGGGTGGATTAAGGCGGACCGCATTTAATCCTTCACTAAGAAGGCTTTGCTTAAACGAGTTCTAACGAGCTAAAGATAAAACAATTACCGGGGACGTGATTAAGAGATACGGACGACACTTGTTACGTCTTACGTTGACGCCGCCGACGCAGTGTCCGCGAACCCTTCCGTCGGCTCTGCTCAAACGCGACTGCCTCAGAAAATATAAGTGAAAAATTTATTATCAGTGTTTGTAGAATCCAATAAATCGACTGAACGGAAATTCGTTCACCCTATTACGCAGTAAAAGATTCCAATATAAAATCGGGCGTGACGTTTGTCGTTTTATCACCTTGTCACTCTTCCTAATATTTTTTTTACCTCAATTACGACTCCCTCCGCGAGCGCAAATAACCATTTGAGAAGATTAAAATGAAATTCTCGAGAATATTGATACTGAGAGAGATGTAGATCGGAGTCGGAGGGTCTCGCCAAAGAGCACATTTTCCTTCATAGTTTGAATACCGGATTTTACAACGGTCAGGTGCTAATGTTCTGGAATAACTTTGTTCGCTGATAGATCTAACAAGTTAAATTAAATATTAGTCTCGGAGGAAGTTGACCTACAGTCACTCGAGATTACATAAAGGAAGTAACCACAAAACTAAATGCCGTAAAATCCTTAAACAATTTCTACGATTACTTACCTAAAGTAATAAAAGAATATCAAGGAAATTTTATTCATAGTGCCTAATATCTAACGGCTTAATGTTTTTGTAGATTTTCTCGCAAAATATACAATCTTTTCTAAGCAACACCGACATTTTTAGATTAAAATAAGACTTCTTAAAGTAACGACCGAGTTAAATTCAAAAGTGCCTCCGAAAAAGCTTATAAAAAGTAAGAAATTAATCTGCAATTCAAAATCCTTCGTGCCCTCTTATTCTTTTTCCTCTCATTCTTTTTTTTGGCAAATCCACGACAAACATTCAACTGAGATATCTTCATTAAAGGTCTAATTGTTAATGTAACAGAGTATTCTACTTTTATCTATGTGAATCTATAGCTTACTGATAATATGTCATGATATAATGGGATATTTGGTCAAGCAAATATACATCTTCTTTTTAACGAGCTATCATTTAATAAGGGTAGATACCCAGATTTCAAATAATCGACCAGAATCTAACTACTAAACCCACTTATGTCATGCTCGATCTAATTCCGAATTCGGGAACAATTAAAACCTAAACATATTTTAGAAAAGTTATCACAGAACAGGCATCCATACTATATGTACACCATACTAACAGATGAAAGATCAACTTAATGGATTATTGTTTCCGTGAATTTTATATCCTCATTTCAATAAAAATATGTCCGCTCGGATTTCTGTCTGATTGAAAAGGTTTCATATCAATTAAGATAATCGCTTTCAGAATTTAAACGAAATAACAAAACATTTTCTTGTATGAATATCGAGATAGTTAATTGCCACTTGGGATATGCTTTGTAATGTCCACTCCTATTATGACGGCTTTATCCCATCATTTTTGGTAACGAATGCAAATTGCCGAGAGTGAAACAATATCGGAATCACAGATTATGTTCTCATTTGACTTTTAAAATGTCACTCGACGATGTCTATGTATTAAATGAATGTACATTAGAATTGTAAATTAATTACTCGTTACGTTCTCTTACGCTCGCCGCGGTACATTTGGCATTCAAAATCGAATTCGGGCCCGCGAGGCTCTACAAAACTAATTACGTATCGAAGCTATCTTCTTCCACGCTTTCTTACGTGCCTTTCGCATTTCCATATAAGTTGAGCTTTAAACGAGCCAATCTATTCACGTCTACACATCAGGGGGTCGCATTTGCATATAGAACAGAAATTTATTAAATCTACAGCCAATATCCCACGTTCCGACATCGAACTTTTGCTTCTTCGAAGAGTCCTCCGATATTTTTATTGGACTGTTAAGAGTTGTTATGAGCGGCACTTGTTAAAAGTGATCTACTTGATTTATTTATTTACCCTGCAGCCCTATATTTAATACTCTCAGCTCCCGACGCAAAAATAGCAGAAAAAGACAATGGCGACGGCAATAATTAACGGTAGCTACTAGCACAATCATTTATGTTTCTAAGGCATTAAAAGCCGAAAACATTTTTATTCAGCTAATGGAGTCCGTCGTAAAAATGACATAATTCATTTGACAGATGACGGTTTACAAAGGAACTCCAATTTACTCCACAAGAATTAAATAATTCACGCTTTTAATTTTTATCCTGCGAAAAACTTTTCCTTTGCCAGCTTCTCACATAAAGCATTTTTAGTAAGGTTATCCTAGAACAATTTAAACGCTTCATATACAAGTCACTATCAAATTAAATTAATTCAGTGTGTAACACAGCACAACTACTTAAGCGTGTTCTGTATTCACCTTAATGCTAACAAAACCTTTTAAAGCCCCACCGAACAGCCTGGATCCACGAAGCGCTTAATTGAGTGAAACTGTTTTATTAATTTAAAAAATTGTTAAAGTTCTTATAAAGTCAATATCGAAAGTCCGAAATCCAGTTTCAATACATAAACATAACTTTCATGTTTTCGACTAAAGTTTCCAAACAAACATAAAACATCTAAGAGTTTTCTGTAAAACTATGACATTCGTTACAATATATAATGCCAGACGATTGCGCCGAGACCACGATCGTAAATAAATACGACAGTCCTTTTACAGCATTAGTTTCATTAGTGAAAATAAAACGTGTTGCATTCTGGTTTCATTATAAAAATATGTAGAGGGGCGCAGCGCGCCGCCCGCGCCGACGAGCTAGCTTTATGCTCGCAGGAATGGGTTGAGTGCTGTTGCATTTTAATTAATTCTCTTTTCTATCGCGATGTGGTGTTATCAGGCTCCCGCAGGCGTCGCGGCCAAACAAATAGCTGTTGCTCTCGCTACGTAACAATTTTGACACGGCCATAATGCGAGTTTTTCTTCTTTGTTACGGGTAGTGTATCGATCCACTTTTTTATCTCGTGCTAAAAGGAATTTTGCTTTGTTGGCCTTATACTTCCGACATAAATTATAAAATGAACAAGAAGACAACGAGCCAGGGTTACCTAACGCTTTTTCTTTTAACTTGATTGTATTAAAAAGTTAAATTGAATGCGATTCACTTTATTACTAAAAATCATCACATCCTTATTATCACTCAAATAAACGACCCTCAAAAGAAGTGAAACTTTTCCGACTTGTAATATGTTTTTGATGAGATTTATAATTCGTTTCTGTTTTCGTGTCAAACGAGAAAAGTTATTTCAATAATGTTAACTTTTTTATTTATTTTTAGGCTTTAGATGGGCAGAATATTTACAACGGGTGCTGCACATTGCGCATCGACTACTCGAAGATGACGTGCCTCAACGTGAAGTATAACAACGACAAGTCCCGGGACTACACGAACCCGACGCTGCCCTCCGGCGACGGCGACGCGCACCAGCTGTTGACCAGTGAGTTGATGCCACTGCGGGCACGCCTCGCCTTGGCCCTCGCATCCAGGATGAGTTAGTCCTCACTACTCTGCGCACCTGGAAGCTTGTACACTGCGCTCCAACTCTTACACACTATTGTAGACTCTTGTCCTGCATCCACGAGATCTGCGCTATGGGGCAGACTATTGTTCAACCTTGTGTTATCCACGTCTGCCCCATTACACTTGGCTATTTGGACTTGACTTCGATCGCTCTTGCACCTTCTACTTAGGTAGTTACTGGTTTCACCTTCAAATTCAGGTATGTTCATACCGTTAGAACTCCCTGAACATCATTTTCTATGTCCCCAGTAACAGCATTAATCTTGAATGCCTAAGATATGCTTTGTACCTCTCGTAGTCTGATAGGTCTCCATATTTTATTCATTTTCACTGTGTTTGATGTTTTCATATAAAAGGCCTTTTTGCCTTTTTCTTTATGTTTCAAATTACGGTGATTTTGTATTCTTGGCTGTAAATGCGTGTTTTTTGTTGCGTCAATATGCGTATGAAGTAACAGTGTGAAATAAATCTTCAATAATGCTTCTAAATTACATTTGCTATTCCACGTTAGCTCTTTTCTTGTTTATTATTCATATTTCAATGCTAAATATTCCCGCGGTGACTAATAACTCGTCATAAATCCGTATTGCACCGTAGAGAGTTGTAATATGTGTGGATCATTCCTCCATTGTGAATGTTCTGCTCATGTTGTAATTATGTTCTTTGATTTGTTTTTATTACTGTTGACTCCCTTTTACGTTATCTATAATACGAACGTTTACAAATTATTGTTTTATGTACATTAGGACTAGGTTAGAGTGAGGATTTTTTACGTTTTCATTTTGTATAGTAAAATGTTCGTTGTGTGAGCGTGGTGTTATAATCGCAGGTGGTGGAGTGCTGGCGCCTCAGTTCCTGGGGCTGGGCTCCGGACTGGCGTCGCCGTACGGAGTGGGCGTGGGCGGCGTGGGGCTGCCTGCGTTCGGCGCGCTGACGCTGACGCCCGCGTCGCCTGCACTGCGCGCTCTCGCCGCGCCGCCGCTGCCGCTCGCCACTGTGCTGCTCGTCTCAAACCTCAACGAGGAGGTTGGTACTCACACCCACGCAAACAACATAACCCACCTCAATACTGGCAGGCGGATTTATATTTCTATTTCTCGTAACCGCCCTTTCTACCTGTCAAATACAAATACAGAATTTAAAACTTCTCAAATTAAATTGCTCTTGATTATGTCCAAGAACGACTCCCGATTTTACTTAAACAGATTAGACAAAATTCCTACATTGTTTCGACTTAGTAGTTTAATGTTTATTGGCAAATTTATTCATTACGCTAACACAATAGCCAGTAACGCCCGTGTCCGACTCCATTGTGATTGTGGGCTCACTTTATATTCAAACAAACTAATGCATTAACCACACGATGGGCGTTACAGGCTGTTATATTTATATATTCTACTTAAACTCCTTAAAGATAAGTTGCTAATTTATTTATAGATATGATGTCAGATATCTTTTACGACTATTTATAATACTGTCTCTTTTCTCTTTCCTATTGTTTTAGATGGTCACGCCTGACGCTCTCTTTACCCTTTTCGGTACGTGTGCACATACATTCCGTATTTTATATTAAAACATTAATATTGCTCCTGAGCCCTGTCGCCTGAAAGACAAATTGTCAGCTAACATTCTCGACTTCTGTACTGATAACCGCATCCGACGACTTGTCGAAGCTTTGCTTGATAACACTATCGAATCTAAATTCTAAACGCTTTATTAACTCGTATGACAATTTGTGTTTCAGACACCCTAGTCGTAGCTAAGTTAGTTAGTCTGTATACCCAGTGTTGTCTTTATTTCAGTTTATTATTTTATTTTCTTTGTGGGCTGTCAGTTTCGTATTAGATACGGTACAGCGAGACACGCATCTCAATGTGACGAGATCGTCATACGAACATTTATTTTATGTTTTTATTAAGTTAGTTGGAACCGTACCACCCTATAACGGCGACGCCACAAACATGGTAATCGCCTCTAAGCTTTTTATAAAGAGGTGCGTTAACAAACAAACGAGAATATAAGAACTCGATGCTAGTTAACTAGTTAGTAGAGATGAATAATTGTTTGCAGTAATTTGCTTAACACAGCGCGCCAGTACACGGCCCGCGCTGGTAACCGCTAAAGCATTAATCGAAAGCTTAACGTGACCAATTTAGAGCTTGGAGTTGTTTCTTCTTGTATTTTCCGACTGTCCCGTTTCACGACATTATATATTACGAGCCGTTGTACTAAAACATGCTGTGTATTCAGGAACCGTGTTAATGTAGTAACATAGATAGCTATACGTATATACTAGACAACATTGAGATTACATTACCCGGTTTTTGTTAGATTGTGTTTCCTTCAACTCAAGTGTACTTGTTACTGAATATAAACAAAACACACTCTACACAAATACCGACCTCTTATCTATAGTTACTGTGATATAACCTCGGTGCGTGTTTGTAAGACTTTTGTTTGCGTATAGGCGTGTACGGGGATGTGCAACGGGTGAAGATTCTCTACAACAAGAAAGATTCAGCCCTCATTCAGATGGCCGAACCTCACCAGGCCCATCTAGGTACGTACCCCATTATAAACCCTACCGCTGTCGAGATAAAGTCGATTTCCCCTTCACAGGGGTTGTATTTATTTAGGATTATGAGTGTTCTTATGGTTCTCCTCTTTGCTCTAGTTTATTTTTCTTATAACATGAAGTGTCGTTGTTTACTTTACTTTGTACTTAGTCGAATTCATTAAGATTATAAATCTTATAAATCTTTTTGACATAACTTTGGGTTAACTAATATACATTACTCATGTGCCATAGATTTATGTTTTGTTTTCACAAATAGACATTTTTATTAATTGGGTAGTTTAAAAAAAAAACTTTAAAATCGATATAACTTTACAGAATAAAGGCTCTAAAGCTATTTAGGGAGAGGATGCGCAACGGAACAACCCTTTTTGTAATCGACAAATTGTTGTTCCGAGTCTTGATGTGTTTATGAATTATAATATATTTGTAAACATACCAACTATACAGGAGAACCATGACAACTTAAAAAAAAGAATAGCTTCTTACCTTAATCTAATGTATAATGTGTTTGGTCCAGCCATGACCCACATGGACAAACTTCGCGTATTCGGCAAGGCGATGCGCGTGATGCTGAGCAAGCACCAGACTGTGCAGCTGCCCAAGGAAGGACAGCCAGACGCTGGTCTCACCAGGTGATTATATTTTGTCTACCATATCTTCATTCAATTTCAAAATCTTTACTGTTTAAATTTCCTGACAAGCTGAGACTCTACATACCGACCTCATCCCTGTGAACACGCTGGTTAATTTCCGATTTTAAAACGTCAGTTGAAATACCTTAAAACAGTAAAAACATGTAACATGTGATACCCTTCCTTTTATTCATTTTCCTAGTTTATAATGAATCTCGTCTGGTAAGGCTTCATTTAAGGAGACGTCGCGCGTCTTGCGTCTTTTCTACATTTTAGCAGCGGAGGGAATCATCATCCGCTCAAACACAAACATATCAGCTATGTAAGACAATCAAATGGGGTGGTTTTAGTCAGTATAAGACTCTGACAACCCAGGTCGGCAGAAGACTCCATGTATTGGTGATAATTTCGAATAACTCTTTAATGTGTAACTAAATTGCCTGGTTCGTTTCTTGGCAGTCCAACTTGCGATAACCCGATCAAAGAAACAATAATAATAAGTTCTCTTAAACATAAATATATATTTTCGGAACCAAAAACATATTTTGGTGACAGATTTAGAAATATTGTTTTAAATTGATTGACGTGACCTTTAAACCTACATCACTCGTCTCAATCGGAGCTTGACTTTGTGATGCTATTTTACCCACGATTGTTAAGCCTGAATTCGCAATATTCATTTAATAATCTACGTCGAATATTCTAGAAGGCTGAAATTATTATTGGTTTTTCTATCGCAACAATATTGATCATATGACATTTGTGTATTACTCTGCATAATGTTTTTCGTATTTCAGATTCATTTGTTATAAAATTAAATGCAAATAGTTAAATGTATTCCAAATTTAATGGCCGACTTGCGTAGCAAGATTGTCGTTGCTACGTGCGTAGGCGCGTGGCTACGAGCGTAGCAGTGACAATGTAGACTTGTATAGCTACGAAACATAGCTACGAAATTTTCACAATTTGCGACTAGAATATTATGTTTACGGATAGTTTGTAGGTAGTGTTTTATAAATTATAATATAAAGGAGAATAGAAAATAATTTTAAAAGCTGCAGTAATGTGCTTACAATAAGGAAGAATAGATCTTAAGCCTACGCATTATTGTAAAATTACAGGGACTACTCCCAGAGCCCGCTGCATAGATTCAAGAAGCCTGGCAGCAAAAACTACCAGAACATCTACCCACCAAGCGCAACTCTGCACCTGTCCAACATTCCGTAAGAAGACATCTCATTAATTTCTCAAAAATATTCTAAACTACTTTCAAAGTTATCTAATATCAATCTAATCAATTTCCAGAGCTACGGTGTCTGAAGATGATATCAAGGAAGCCTTCACCAAGCGAGGATTCACGATTAAGGCGTTCAAGTTCTTCCCGTGAGTTGATTACTTTTTGTACATTTGATATCCGAACAAGATTGATTTTGATCTTTAATTTTATACTTTATTGTAAGGTTTTAAAAATAAAACTTTACAATGCTTTAATGAAAAATAGAAAAGGGATTTATAATTGTGATTTTGTAATTCCAGTAAGGATCGCAAAATGGCGTTGGTCCAGCTGCCGTCGATCGACGACGCGGTGGCGGCGCTGATCAAGATGCACAACTACCAGCTGTCGGAGTCCAACCACCTGCGGGTCTCGTTCTCCAAGTCCAGCATCTAAGCCGCGGCCGGAATATCACACAACTAGCCGTTACATCGTACCTCTCACACAAATCGAGAATTTCCCTCGACTGAAATTAAAATATATCTGTATTACGCTTACACGGATCACTAGAGATAAGTGCTATTCTATTTTCTTAATAAATACGTACGTTTACTGTTACTGTACATCTAATCTAAGATACTATCATCACAGTCAAACGCTGCTTGTACTTTCCATACGATCCCGAACGGACCGGGTCGACGTAGAGAGGAATTATATTTTGTGTGATATTCATTCCATATTTTAAATAAGTATATCAATTATTTTATTTTTGTAATTCGTAATGTTTCCCGGTGGTTACAATATATGATTTGGTTATGATACATTATTATCCGGACGGTATGTGTTGCAATTAGATTGCGCTAGTTACGTTGAGGGCCGCAGTGTCAGACACTGCCCGCCGCCCGCCAGCTCGCGGAGCTCGCGGCGCGACCTACATACATACATACACCTTGTTCATCACATTATATAGCACATTGTTAGACTATCTGTCGGTCACATCATTCGCAGTTATTATTCTTAAATTGTATTTTATACATAATATATTTTATTGTCTATTTTAATATGCACAATTTACTATTATTGCATTTCTTCGTAAGTTACTATAGTTTTGTACGCATACACATTTTTTTCTTATTTTATTGATGGAATGTTATGTTTAGAAATGTGTATGTGTGTGCAATATTAGTTGTAGAGATAATTTTAATAATATATTTTAGATGTAACCGTTCCCCGGCACCGGGCCGGTGTCCTTGCTTCCATTCTTGTTTCGTTACGAGGATATTGTCTGTTCTACACTTGATTCATAGTTATTGACGATTAGTTAGTGTAATCACAACTCTTATCGCTAAGCATCTAGTTGTATATCACTATTTAAACGTTATGTTCAGTGACATAATAGTGACATGATGCATTTATTTCGATGTTAATTTATATTAATGGTAGCTACAACATATATAAATGCTCGTGCATACGTTTCACTGAGTGGTTAATTTTAGATAATTATTTATTGTGAGCGGTAGGGGGCGCTGGGCGGTGTGGCCACTGTCGCGAACATATTTAGAATAATTTCCAGTGCTGCTTTGATATTGCCACACTGCAGCGGAGTTGCGGCGACGGTCTATTAAGTATTAGCCAGATCTGAGTTTGCTCTACGACATATTTAATCAACAGTATTTACACTAGGTCACAATAACTTGATGAAACAGTATTTTAGTTAATGAACCTGAACTGTCCTTCTCGATACTTCGTTTTGTATATAGACACACTCCGACTTCGATGTGTTCGCTTCTCACACTTCGGACTTCGCTAAACTCTCGATTGGATTTCACACATCTTTGCCTTCTTAAATTAATTAAAAAAATATGTCTAGTCCAATGCAAAAGAGATTAAGTTTGTGAATTAAGTGATTACGTTATCAAAATCTTATGAATTCGTCTCAAATGTTTAAAGTCTGGTAGGGAAGCTTTTGTAAAAAGATTGTATATGGTTACGAATTTGTTGGTAGAGAGATGCCCGCGGCCCGCGAGAGCCATGCTACCGTTAGGACCAGTTTAAGTGTTCAGTTACACGTCCAGATTATGTGATTAGGCAAAGCATGCGTGAAACAGATACCTGAATATGACGAGTAGGAGCATACTGATGCCATCCGCGGGAGCCGGCTGGCATGTTTATTAATATTGTAAGTGTCAGTACTATTGTATCAACCAACGCATTACATATCTCGACGATGCCACGGTCGGTAATCAATTAGGATAGCAAAGGGAATGTATATTGTAGGATAATAGAGGTATCGGTTCGTGCGAGTGTACACGCACACGCGTACACACGCACACACGTACACACGTACAGGCAGACGGACACAGAGCGGCGCAGGCGCAGGCTGCGCACGTACCACGCTACCACATCAGGCAAGCGTCACTATTCCATTACTTTCAACATATCCCAGTGTCGGCAAACACACGGCAAATTAATAAAAATAAACTTTTATTTTAGAAAACATTTGTGAAATTATAAAAGTCACACATATTTACACTATTATGAAATGTATAATAAATATATCACGTAACATACATAAGATATAGAGCTTAGTAAGATGATTAAACTGAAAAAAATATTAGAATGTCATTACGATGTAAGAATTAATAGAAAAATTTAATCATACAATTGTATTAATCAGTACCTACCTATAATAAGAACGTAAAAGTAGTTATTTGGTTTAGATAATGTTAGGTGACCAGGGTGTGGTGATATTTTGCACGTTTTTGAAAATGTTTTTCTATACGGCGCAGGATTCTGTGCCTGTGTTTTGAAATGGTGAGGAGTGGTGGTCGAGTGACGTGAGAGCGGCGGTAATCGCATTTGTAATTTTAATAATAATTGTATTATGATTACTATGTATTTAAATTAAATGAAAGATGAATCACAAAGAGGAGATTACATATCCAGTGTACTCAGCGTAGAACGCTACACACATGCCGCGTTTGGTTGACGTTTACTCAATGGTTTGCATAGTATGTATTCGTAACTCGTAACTCGTATAGTGAATAGACTACAGTCGCTTGTGCTCAATACATTCGTAGACTCGCTCCGTTACTATGTACTACTGTGTGTGTAGCGTTTTCAGGCCTAAACTTTTCTCAATAACATTGGTATTGACTAATAGATAATTATAGGAATTTATGTGTTTAGAAAAGTATTTTAAATATCTAGATTTTAATGGTAATATTATTAAAAATAAATAGATCAGTGTTTAGGATGAGATGCCAAATTTAAAGTCAATACAGATTATTTTAGGTAAAAGGTAATTGAAGTAAAGTAATCTTAACATTTATTGAAAAGTTGATGAAAATGTTACAGTTAAATTATATTTGAGAGTTTTATTAAGCGCAATATATGCAATTTTATTCATTGTAAGTGAACATTGTTTCAATTTGTTAGTTAAAGTTATGCGTTGAAAAATGATGTGAAAGTTGTTTTCGGATGTGTTGATAGATATCCCGCGACGGCGGACTGTCACATGCTTGTTCTCTGCGTTAGCGCACCTTCCTATGTCTCTCTTAGTTCCATACATATCTCCGCATATCACACTGAATATGCTTATATTTTATTGCGCTTTATAATATTTATCTCTACTACATACATATATTAGCTGTATTTAGTACTTCGTAACGATATGAATAAAGGCCGACATATCAGTAAATAGAACTATGGCTAAGGCGCATATATTAATAACCTGTCTCGCTCCTCAATGTTCTGTCTAGATGTCTACTTCCTTCAGCTCGGCGGCGACCGCGAGATGTTTCATTGTAAGTTCACGTGTCGTCGTCAGTTCTTTATTTTTAATTTTAAGCCTTTTGTGTGGTTAATTTCACTCTTTATTTTTAATTTCATAATTAAACTATTATTATCATTGATACTTTTTGTTCTTTATTTTCGATCCTTTCCCTTTCTACCTGAATCCCTTTTTTTATTTTATATTTCCATACCAATTGTCTACACGATACGGCAGCGGTGCGGAGTAACAGCAGCGTCACGTTTCCTTAGGACTCACACACTGCCACATTCAGTTACGTTTTTCATCAATACATCTATAGATATAATTTCATCCCTTTATTTCAGACCACCCGAACAAGTTTCGAGAAAGTATTTGTAAATAAACTTATAAATGATAAAGGGGATCAATATAATGAGATGATGTACATTAGTACACAATTGGTATTCTAGACATATTCGTACTTAGAACTTAATTATTACTATCCTGGCGAAATCTACACTCGACTACATTTTAAAGTATATCTATTACGCTTTGATGTATTTATATAACTTGTGAATAAACATTCTCTACCTTTCCCACCGGGCCCTCGGACCCGAGAAGAAAATATTTAGGCGAAATAAATCACGTTGTTTAATTGAATTGTAAAGGGAGTAAGGGACTTAAATATTGCCAATGATAATTATGTTTTATATAATATTATCAAGTGGAATATTGTATTTCGCACAGGGTATAATGTGAATAAAATTATAGCGCTGCCCGTGGCATTTGATCGTCCGAGGCGGTTATTTTGTGTCCGTGCCACGTCCCTTATTCCTACTGTGTGGAAAGAACTGAACCATTCCGTAATGAAACGTTGAATTAGCGAAATTATTGTGCGACTGCCACTCGATGACACTCGTAGCGAGACCCGACCGACTACAGCTGTGTACAGACTCCGAATTGTATGTATTTAGATTGAATCGTTTCGAGCGCATCCTGAGCGAGAGCTGGCAGTTGCACTCATGTTAAATTAATCTGAAATTGTAAATATTATACACGACTTTGTTAATAATTACAAATTAAATTAATAGGATCTATAGTAAAGATTAAAATAATCATTTACTTTAAGATTTACTAGTTAAATATCCTATCTTAATTTCAGTAGTCGCTCTAGTTAATTATATACCTACCTAACTTATGGGAACCCTTCGTAGGAGATATTGTCTACTGTTACTACCTCCCTTGGTTTCTTCATTTAATGTTTTTGTTGTTTCATTAAAAGAATTAAATAAAGGTGTGCAAATTAAAGGGTTGTGTGTAAAGTTAAAATAGTTAAATAGATGTAAACAATGGTTCAACGTAAAGTTTATCTCATCAGTTTATCGGGAAGCACATCTAGTTTCGTTTACTATCGTAGTAAGACTTGCTGAAACAATTTGAACATGTCAATATTAATTAGTCTTAATTCAATATGCCAAAGACCAATCGTTGGGAAAAATAACAGGGATATAATAATATTTTTCCTTTCAACTTAACTAATGTTTTATCTCTAATAAAGACACGTCTAAAATCAAATGGCAAGCTTTAACGAGCTATATTTCACTATGAGACATATTTTGAAGATGGTTTGTGGAAATTACTTTTATGATACACGCACGGTTCACCTGAGAGGCCGTGCGTTTACTAAACTACATTATGTAAAACAGTTATATGAATTATAAATATATACAACAATATTAATATCTAAGTGACTACCCTATTGAATTCTAGATTTATTCTTTGTGATTTTATAATAAAATATAGTTGAAAATGGAGTTTTTATTTTATTTTAACCTTTAAGGTCCTACCACAAAAAAGCCATTTCAAGATTTACACATTACGTAATTAAGATTCACATTTATTTTAAGATTTTTTTACTCTTGATACCGCCAGAACTATTAAAGTCACATATTAGTCGGGTACCTACTACTATCACAGTACTACTTATCGCGTAATTTAAAACGAATAAAAAAAATGGTATAGGTAGGTAGGATCCGAACAATCATACCTAAACCTTTGCGAGAGCCATACTTCGGCACGAATGGGTCAGCTAGACCTGAGTGATATCACGGCCTCACAGAAAACTGGCGTGAAACAACCACACCGTTGTGTTTCGCCGTGTGAGTGAGGTTACCGGAGGCCCAAGCCTTTACTTCTCCCAATCCCAAAATCTCCAAATCAAATAAAAAAATTAACTAAAAATCGCGGGTTACTCACGTGTAAATATTGAGAAAAGCTCTACTAGTTTCGAACCACAGAGGGGTTCTTCCTCATGAGCAGCGTGCGCGGACGTGGCGACGTCGCGCCGCCTACTCATGAGGAAGATTTATAAGGCTGTTAAAAAATATTTACCTATATTTTTGAACAAAAATTGTAGGTACCTACCTACTTAATTTAATTCTATTTTTATCGACATCAATTCCATGTATTAAAAAATTATAAATATCAGCACTGATTTTTACAATAAAATACAAGAGGAAAGAAAGAGATAGCAGCATTAGAAATGCTTAGTGAAAGAACGAGACTTACAAAAGACATCAACGTGCGTATCATCAGTGTGCTTTTTTTACCCAACCACCATTTTATCTAGACCCCTGCGGAGTCACACAATCTAATGAAATAAAAAAATATTTTCGTATTATTTAATAACTGATGAAAAGTAATGCCATCTTTTTGGTAGATAGATATCTTGGAATGTTTCCTACATTAATTTGTCGCGCATTAAGGCATTTTGTTGCTTTAAAATTGCAATAATAATAATTTTGCGTTTGTAGGTGTCAAACACTTGGACACAATTAAAAGGTTACTAGTACCGAGGCGACGAAATGCTAATCGTTTTCGAGCGTTGGGGCATTGGGGCACTGTATGCGCCGTCAAGTGGTTATATCGTCATTGGCTCTGAGGTATCTGTCACATATGGGGTCGGACAGGGTAGTATACTCGGGTAAACGCTGTTCCTCATTTACATTAATAACCTTTGCAGCATGAAGATCGGTGGTCATTTCTTCTCATACGCTGAATACTAAACTGAATCAGCGTTGGCCGAACCGCTCATGCCTTGACTTTGATTGCTTCCCGGCTAGATCATCTTCTGACACTGACGTTTCTCTCTCTCTCTCTCTTATCTATCTATTTCTCTCTCTCTCTCTCTTATCTATCTATTTCTCTCTCTCTCTCTCTCTCTCTCTCTCTCACACACACACACAAGCGCCCGCGCGCTGAGTACTCTGCCCGTGTAGCTATTGCGCCCATCGTCATAATAATATCTGCATGCTTATTTTAGATGGCTTTTGTTTATATGCCATCATTGATTAAAGCGGAAGGAGCGGAACCATCTACACACAAGCATATTTGCAAGCATTTTTACAGGGGCACAATAATTTAACCACAACAAACAAATTTTTGTGTGATTGGGAAGGGATGGGAGAGGGGGAGGATTGGGTCTCCGACAAAGATATTATATTATGTTATAGGCAAACTCCGAAGCTCCGGCGCTCCTAGGTTGGACTGGTCAATCCTCAAGTCAGACTGAATGACTTAGTCAAAGCCCATACAAACAAATGTATCGGCCTTTGACTAAACCATTTTCGTCAAACCTGGGAGAGACTAATTTGGTCAGGCAAACGTAAAAACACAATTTTATTAAATCAAATAGGGTTGACGAGTCAAACTCCGATATATAGTAGGTATGAAGTGTCTTATCTTCGTATATTTGGAAGCATTTTATCATTTAAGCAGCTTTCAAGTCTTAAGAACCGCTTAACTATGCCAGTTCTGACACCTGATTGGTCAGCTTACGTGATTTTCACTTTTATATTTGAGATGCTTTGAGAGAATGCCGTGTGGCATTAGACCCGCCTTTTGTACGATGTGCAATATAAGTATAAAATAAATAAATAAATGCTTTGGGATTTATGGAGGTTAGTTTGTAAGATAAGGTATGAATTTTTTTTTATTTTGATGTTTATTGTTTTAATAATTTCATAAGTAATTAAAATGGAAAATTAATCGTTTTTCTGACATGGTGAGGCATTTTATAATGTTTACTTAATGTGAGGCAACAATGACACGCCCGCACGCTCAATGAACGAACATGAAATGACAAAACAATCGGTCGGAACACCGCGAGAGACATTATGAACCTGCTTATACATGTTCAGATCAACGTTTGACCGAGTTTTGCAGTCGCTTTTGGGACTGACTAGGCCAAAACCGAAACAGAATAATTTACTTTCGACGTTTGACTGAAAAGTTAGGAGCTCCTGGGTTTGACTTAAAATACTTCAGGCAAAGGGCGAAATTGATATGTATTTCGGGGATTGCCTGATGGCTTTGGCCAAACCTAGGATAAACCAGTCCTTCCGCGAAGAGACTGTGTATCGGACTTTGACTATAACATATATAGAACTTTGTTGTCTATATAACATCTTTGATCTCCGGTAACTTCACTCACAAGTCACAACTCACAAGGCGAAACACAACGTTGTAGTTCTTTTACACTGGTTTTTTTTAAGGCCGTGGGATCAATCCGGTCGAGCCTACCCCTGCGTAGCCAAGCTTGGCTCTCCCACATTAACAAATATTTGTTACGATTTTATTCGTTTATCTTCATTATTTTAAAGTTAATGTGAAGAATAAAAAGGTTTCAAAACGCATTTTACTGTCACGGGTGTCATGCGTCAACCGACAAATTACTGTCAAAACAATTCATTTATGTCATACGAATGTCACCGGGGCCTAAAAATTGGAAATAAATATAGCATTCTTTTACTAAAATACAATATGTGGTGTATATAAATAATAGTTTTATTCACCAAGGATTATTCCAGCTAGGTGTTTTATAATTATTCACAATGTTTCGCGCGATCACTAAGTTGTCGCCGACAATTGCTTTAGGAATATTTCGACATTCTTCTGGTCAATATGACAAGGATCTGCTGAATATACCTAACCCTAGTATTCCTGAAACGGGTTGGGATAGAGTCAAAAGAATGTATACGGGAAAGTAAGCCGATAAACATGAAAAATCTAAATACAAACTTTGAGGTTACTTTTGTTATAAAAAAAATTATGTACGAAAGATATAAATTACTACAACAATTTATTCGTAGCAACAGTTAAATAATTTTGCAAGTTTATATAATATTGTTGAATGTGCTTGCAATATAAATGAGCTACAGAATTAAGTAGAAACTGATCACCAAAACCAATTACATTTCAGTGAATTTGAAGAAGTTTCTGAAGAATTAAACACAGTTCTGCAGTCAGCGTTATGTGGAGCATTTATTGGTGCTTGCATGGGAGGATTTGTTAGTTCTCGTGTGGCTTATCTGAATTTCATTGAGAATAATCAAGCTACAATATTCAAATCCACTGCAGATGCCAAGGTAATAATTAAAGATTATACTCTTCATTTACTGGCTATAAACTGTACCTGTACTTAATCAAACATTAATCTTTAAGGTGTAGATGTAGTAATTAAATAAAACATCATGCTAACAATATACTTTATAAAACATACACTGCATTATATTTTCTGGTTTTAAATACATATTTTGGTAATAAGGGACATTTTTTGTTTTCAGAAAAAGTTGCAAGACTATGTAACTATAGCATTTGCGAAGGGAGCATACAAATGGGGCTGGAGGTTGTGTTTCTTCACAGGAGTGTTTAGGTAAACTTAACCAACCCTATATTGCAATTAACTTAAGCCTTACATTAATAAATTAGCGGTTTACATTTCATGCAAACACAAATACAGTGTGTTTAATAATTTATAGAATATACAATGCGGCCGACGTATCTTGGCGAGTCTGAAGTTAGCTGATTAGCTGCGCAGTACACAATTTTGTTCCTAAAAGATCCATTGCGCAGACAAACGGCTAACTTCAGACTCGCCAAGATACATCGGCCGCACTGTAAAATAAAACAGTTAGTTAATTTCCTAAACCAATAGACCTAATGATATTATAAGTAAAAATGTGTAGATCAGTTACAAGCGCTCACCTAGTGAAACATTAAAATGTGGCTTACTAGCCACACATTTTCATATTTGTCTCTTTTTCACTCTCAATTATTGAAACATGACATCCCACTTTAGCATGTATCATATGATTTACTCATTTGTGCATAAGTGTGTTGTTTTTGAAAATCAAATGTTGTTTATTTAATCTTTCTATATTATTTTATTTATAATATCATTGGATAGACCATAGTTGTGTTGTATTATATAGTAGTTAACCAAGGTGTCTGTTTTTATCTTAGTGATCTGTTATTCTATTTGTGTCACAATATGATTTCATTTAAAATTTCAGTTTAACATCAACTACAATATCGGTGTACAGAGGAGACACATCTTTGATTGAGTTTGTGTCAGCTGGTGCCCTCACTGGGGCATTGTATAAGATTGACATGGGTTTGGCCGCTATTCTAGTAGGAGCCGGTTTAGGTATGATTATTAAACCTCTTAACTTGAACCATCTGTATATTTTGTTTGTATAATAACTATCCTATGACATATTTACTATATTTATCTATCTATTTGATTGCCTGTACTATGATGCCATAACACGCTTACAATACCGAGGCTGGAGAAGGATCGCAGAGGTTTTTAGTTTGTGAGAATCCGATATTTCTTCTTCCCACCAAGATGGGCGAGGAAAGTCTTATGATGACTATCCTCCCTTTAAAATGTCTTGTTGTGACTTGAAACTTCTGAAGCTTTTGTCAGTGAATTAAACTGAACTAAGTTAGATATCTGGTAATGATACTATTTGAAAGGACTGATAGATGATAGAACCTAAAGATAAATTCAAAGAAATTAAATGCAAAGAATTTTTGGTAAGGAATTTAGGAGAAGGGACAATATATAGAAATATCAATCTATTTAATTAAATAATCATATTTTTATAAACGAATGTAGGTACTTAATGTAATATACATATCAGTTCTTAGCAACAAAAAAACATTAAATAAAGAATAAAGGAAAAAATTGAAATTAATAGACAAATCAAATTACTAGTCAAGTCACCATGGGACACTTTTTCGTGAGCAGGCGTTGTCTGTAAACTTAATTATTTTCAATAAAAATAAGTTTAACGACAATGTCTAATAAATACAATAATGACAATCTAATTATTACACAAAATCAGAAATAAAAATCTTTTAATACTTATTTTCAGGGTCTGCATTAAGTTTAGCTGCTGGTCTTGCCATTTTAGGTATATTGAAAGTGACTGGCGTTAATATGGAAGATATAAGAAAAGCTTTGTATAAATTAAAAGAAGCTCGGTAAGTTGATATCACGTTGTGTTCTTAGCTTTTTGTTTTAAACCACAATAACACGATAATCATATTGAATATTTTGCAATATTTTTATGCTAGCAACCCATGTAGAAAATACCATATACCTAAATCACAAACTTGATAACCAAAGGGTGGTAGCACCCATATGTAAATTTGTGTTTTTTTATGCATAAGATCGGCAAACGTGCAGATGAATTACCTGATGGTAAGCAATCAGCGCCGCCCGCAACACTAAAGCAGTTAAGAGTGCATTGCCGGCATTTTAGGGATAAGGGTTACGGATATTTAGGGATTGGGGGAGGGGGCGGGTTTAGGCCTCCGGTAACCTCATTCAGACGCCAAAGCACAACTTTGTGGTTGTTTCACGCCGGTTTTCTGGCCGTGGTGTCACTCCGGTCGAGCCCAGCAATTCATACCAAAGCTTGGCTCTCCCACTCTTGTGTTTGGTTAATAAAACAGGGCCATTTAAAAATAAAAATTGTCGTTGACTCTGTTACAGAGAAGAACAATACAATCAAGTTTTAGAAAAATCATCAAAAGAAAAGTATGACGGACTAACGGACCACCATACAATGTTAGTCAGTGAAGAAGGAGAGAAGAAAATTGAAGAAATTTAAATAATAAACAATTCTAAGTATATTTATAATGTAAATAAATAATTGTTAGTTAACAAAATGTTTTGTTTTTATATTTTATTTGTTATATTTGTTAATTTCAATGTCTTTATTTATCAGATAAAATAAAATGTTTATGCGGCTGATTACTGTTATTCTTAACCAATAAGTATATCTGGATTGATCTAGGTTTTTGGCAGATATTTAAAAGAAAACATAATCATATTGATTGAGATCGTTTATTAATTTTGACAGTGAGTCGCGGGACAAGCCATTTGTATTTGTTTTCATGTTTCATATTTTAAACTCATACGGTTTAAAACCGCTGACAGAATCAGTGAATGTAAATAGATTAGATTAAACTTAACGAAATAAATGAATTTGTACATTTATTTTTTATTTTTTATACCTACACAATAATATAGTTTACAGAGAATGGAAAAGACGCCATTACTCAATGGTTTGTGGCGCTTAATCTGTACACAATTCTAGCATATTTAGCCCGGGTCTGTTTCACAATAAATATGTAATTATTTTCTTTAATATCTTATATTATTGTTATCGTTTTCATTCAGATCCAGAACCCCAGGGTCCTAGACCTCTGGAAAGCGTACGAGGAGCAGAAGCCAACTCGCAGAGTTTGAACAACTTAAATATTAGTGAAAGCGGGTCACAATAGCCGGTAATTATCCCTTTATATACTATGAAAGAGCACCCAAGGATAATCTCCGGTAGATACAGGCCTATTGTGCAATATGGTAGAAAATTATATATAGCTATGGGTGTGGGTATGGCTATGTACTTGTAGATGTGATAACTATAGAAATACTATGGCGCCTGCCCCTGCCCTTGACCAATATTGATACATAAGGATAAACAGATACCTGGCAAACTCAATTTTATTAATTTGACCTTTGGATACGGCCGCTGGCATGTAGCGACGCGGGGGCAATATACGTTGAGCTGCTTGGGAAAGGAGAGGCATCCCATGACTAACAAAGCAGTCCTGGAAGTATGGTCAAGACCCCTACCAGCATCTTACTGAGATACGTCCTTCCACCGAGTCTCCTTCACCTTCTACTGTTGCGGATCTCCATTCAAACCGGCTGGTTTCATCGAGCATTCTCGCCCTAATTGGGTAGTTTCCAAGGTCAAAAGTAAATTAATTTGACGTTTTAATACAATAAAATATTGAAAAATAACTACTTTTATTCATCGATCAAATAAGTAAGCTATTTGACGATAAAATACTATGACGTCATAACTCAGTTTTTCATACAAATTTTATAAAAAGTATTGTTTTTGACATTTGGATAAAAGTATTGAATTTGACTGGTTGGAAACTACAGTATTAGGGCGATCTGTTTGTTGAACTGATTGAATAAGAGTAACCTGGAGTTAATCAACTAGTACTTACGCCTTACCATCAACGATTGCCTCACTGCTTACCATCAGCTGGGATTGCAGTCAAGTCCTAGCTTAGATAATAAAAAAAGAGACTCTTGCTCGATATCATCCATCGGAGTCTACACTTTGGAACAAGCAAATAACTTCACTAAGAGATCTGAACAATATACGGATACTTTTTAATTTTGTCTTTAAGCTTTGTTTGACGTTCATAAGTGCGTGGATGCGTGGTGCGTGCGTGGCGGGTTCGAATTAGTTCGAAACTTAGCAAGTAGGTACTTACCAATGTAACTTTATATGTCCTTTCAAGTTTATTTAGACACCACTGACAAATGGTGAAGGAAAAGATTGTGAGGAAACCTGGGCTTATAATTTTATTATAAGTTTGAAATTGCCAACCCGTCTTGGGGTAACGTAGTGATTAATGCTGAAATCTTCACTGTGTGGTTTTGCTCAGCAGTGGGCACTTATAAGCTGATGATGTATGTAAGTATAAGTAGAAACGTGTCATGTAGACTAGATAGGTAACAGATACTTATCAGGCATTATGAAATAGGCCCGTAAGCAGCAGATAATTGTGACCAAATAAAACTTCCGATTACGAATGAAATATCCAATTTTATTATAAGTTCGGTTGCTACCTGAATAAAATGAAAATTATATTAAAAGCATGTTTATTGATACAGGCGTTGCACAATTCATAATGGTCAAACCGAATTACAAAAATATAAGGAGATATGCATATACAAATTTCATTTGTGCATATTTTTTTATTAAAACAAGCAAATTATTTTACTTAATTTCAAATACGAAAGGTAAAAAATGCTAAGACTTATAATAATCATTGAAAGAAGATTATAAAGAACACTTAGATTTAATTATAAGGGTTACAAAACTTTAGAATGGCAAGATCTAATTAATGAATAGATTGAGCTACATAAATATGCGTCCATAAAAACTCGATTTAATAATATATAAGTCTACAATATTTATGAAATATTACACAATCGAATAATTTATGCAAAAACATACAATACATTAAAAAGAGGTTAAATATATCGTAATTTCATATCATCTTATAGTATATAACAATAATACATGTTGAAAGCAATATTGTATTTTTTATTTAATGTAGTTATAAAAACATTTTTTCTCATAGAGTTCAATTTTGATTACTCAAGTAGGAAGTAAAAGAAATTGGTAAACGATGGCAGGCCATCTTGCCAAGCCAACAAGGTATGTTAATTAATAACACGAAGCGCCTTTGGTTGCCGACAGAAAACAACAAGGATATTTCGAATATTCTACACAAAAAAAGTATCAAAACATAATCACAATTTCATTCATTAATTTTAATATCTACATATTATTCGCGTATTTAGTAGAAATTCAAAAACATAACGTCAAGGTACAAACTTCATAGACTACTTTTTAAGTGAATTTTGACTCTAAGTTGATAAGACTGTAATGAAAAAAAATACCACGACTAGTGCTCAAATACTTACCCAATTATTGATGCATTTTGATACCTGTTTATTACGTGTATATAGAATTTAAATGACCATGATGCACAAACATACATGCATACAAAACATGTGCTCTAAAAATACAGCTTTTGACTTAACACATATTTATTTCATATTAAATCTAAAAATCAAAAGAACGCGTTACGCAATCTCTAAACAATTTCATTTTCAATTATATAATTCGTTTTTATATTTTAATATTACAATTTATATAATAATAATACTTCAAATTCAGTATAATTAAATACAACTACATTGTTTTTAAACTTTTTAAAGTATACGATAAAATTCCTATGGATTTAAGAAAATATAAAAAATATTGTACAGTTTTTGAAGCTGGTTTAAAAAAAAGTAATCGATGTTTTGAACAATTTGCATGTTTATTGCACTTTTACTTGACAGTCTTTAAATTTAAAAAAGGAAAGACGTTGTTAACCTACAATATTACATCTGGCCAAAACACAAATATTCAAATCACGTGGCTTATTGCTTTGCATTGAAAATGTTGATCATACTTACGTAAATAATTTAAAATTCATTTTAATAATTTATAAGAGTTAGTATTATTTGCATTTTTTTATGACAGACAGTAAAACACAGAAAACAATTAATGTACCATTTCATATTACAAAATACATTTTGTGCAATGAGCCACAGGATTTCCGAAGATTATAAAAATATTTACTTAAATACTATACAGGGTGTTAGATTTAATGAGAAACGCATTGAAGAAGACTCGTAGACAAATAGCATTAACTTGAATTGACATTACAAGGTTGATATATAAAGGTGTCAAGCGTAATAAAGTACCTCAGCCTCGGCCTAAAGCAGGAGAAGGAACGGGGGGGTTTTTAGCCGGTAAGAGTCTGAAGCCATATGATGATGTACGCTCCTCAAAAAATGTTGCCATTTTAATTCTGCAATTGCCATGAAATTTATTTGCGGCCGATTTTCGAGTTCCAGTTTCTCTGACACATTTCGATTCTCTTCTCGAATATGGGTTACCACAAACCATGTGTTTTCAGAAACTGTTGAGTCAGGTTGTCTTCATTAGAAGACTTTTTATGGTAACCAAAATAAAATATTTCATAGTATTTTTATGGGATCGATTGGCAAACGAGTATGTTTACGTATCAACCGATCGGACACACTGTTATAGCAGCGGTAAGACCCCTCTTTGAGGCGTGGATTGAGAGACGCCACGGCGTCCTCACCTTCCGCCTGACGCAGGTGCTTACCGGGCACGGCAGCTTCGGTAGGTTCCTGTTTCGCATCCGGCGGGAGGAAACGCCCGAGTGTCGTCATTGTGAGGACTAGTCAGAGCACCCAGTGGGTGCTACGGTGGTGGTGTACCCTACTTGGGATTAGCACCGCCGTGTCCTCAGGGAAGTGATCGGCGGCGGCGACCTCTATTTTATATTCCTCATTTAATCTAACACCCCTTTATTTCTTGGCCGCATGTCTATCATCTGCGCAGCTATAATTGTTTACAATATATCTACTGATTACTCTGTGACTTAGTGATCCGTTTGGCGCCCCTGTTCGGAGGTCCCTTGGGCTTGGCAAACGTTGGACGGTGAAGGTTCCTCTTTGGATGGATCTCGTCGTAAAGGAACTCTTCTGTGAGCTCTTTGCCGTCATCTATTTCTAGCTGTAATGGTGAAAATGAAAATGAGAGATCAAATATGTCATTGGAATGGTGTTGGTTACAATGTTAATTGTTAAAAGATGTATGTTTGCTCACATACTTAATTTGAGTGTTGGAAAATTTATTGCAAAATAGCCTCATAACGACAGTTTGCAAACTATATCACAGTGAAAACATAAGGTGAAAATTATAGGAAATATTTTTTAAAGATCTTAATAAGATGCCAGATAGCTTTCTAAGTCCATAAATTGAGATAGAATGTTTGTCGTTCTGTCAAGCCACAATAACCCCTTATTGTATTTTCTATGATATGATATATGATAGTCAGGAAGCTAGACGGAAATAAATACAAGGTACAATATTTTTTAGCCAACAGTTAGGTAATTTTCATGATTTTAGAAAAGAATGTGTGGAAAACCCCGTGCCGGATAAACACGCTCTAAAAGTTATTATGATGATGAATGAATAGGTAGCTCATGGGCAGGCGTACTTCATTAGTCGTCAAGTTCATCAAGATCATAGTTTACCACCAGGCGAGATAGGAGTCAAACGCTAGTCCATCTATATATATAAAAATGGATCGCAAAATGTGTTGGTAAGCACATAACTCAACAACGCCTGGACCAATTTTGCTAATTTTTTTTTGTTATGTTTTTCATTTTCAGGAGAAGGTTCTTTTCAAAGAAAATATTAGAAAAGTAGAGGGGGAAATTGGGAAAAAGTGACCCCTTGATAGCGAGATAGTGCGAAGCGGGGGCTTCAAAAGAAAGATAGCCCAAATTAGGTTCTGGGTAGTAATACAACATATTTATTTTGCTTACCCGTTTAGCAATTTCAACACCCAGCTGCTCAATGATTTCCAAGAACTGTCCTTTGCAACTGGAGTACATCATCCTTTCTTTTATACTGCAGCTGTATCCAGGCATTGAGTAGATGAATACTGGAGTGCAAAATATAGCACGTTATTTTGTTGCTTTTTTGTTTTTCTTTCTATTTACTAGAACTTTGACTGCACGGTTGGTGCGGTGGCTGGGCTGCCGTGCAACGTGTCGCGGGTTCGATTCCCGCACAGAACAACACTTTGTCAGATCCACAAATTGTTGTTTCGGGTCTGGGTGTCATGTGTATGTGACATTGTATGTTTGTAAACGCACCCACAACACAGGAGAAAATCCTAAAGTGGGGGAAAAATAACGATACAAAAGTCGATCTAAATCTATCTATGTTAATTTGCTCCTAGTAGAGCAGGGCAGCGGAACCTGGAATGAAACAGCGCAGAAGTAGCTAGTAATAAAGAAATATACATACCAACACTCTCAAAGTAATCACTTTCATGTGTGTGCTTGAATATGTACAAGTGGTATCTGGCCTGGTCTCCGGGCACCTGCTGAGGTAGCTCTGTCAGGGATATGTTGGCCGCTTTCGACAAATGAATCTTTTCTCCTTCTAAATCTGTAACACCGAGAATTGGACAGCTTTGATTTTTAATGTCATGGGTTCGCTTCTAACACGGAAAACATTTTCAAGTGATCTACATATTGTTTTCCGGGATTAGTTGTGATCTATATGTAATATTGTCACGGTGGTAAACGTACACGGAGCATAGGAGACGATACTTGTGTGGGTCAGCGTAAATCAACTTATTTTTCTTATAGTGTGACAAATTTTTTATCCATCAATTCGCTAGCGGCGCTTGGTAAAGGCGAATTCCTAATATAACCTCTGTAAACTTACGTCGTGGTGGCCTGGAGGTGAAGGAGCCCGGTTCTCGTGCATGAGAGTGTGGGTTCGAAACCTGGCAAGTACCAATGTGACTTTTTCTAGTTATATGTACTTAATATGATTATTTAGACACCACTGACATACGGTGAAGGTAAAAATCCTGCGGAAACCTGGACTTATAATTTCTAATTATAAGTTTGAAATTGCCAACCCGCATTGAGCAAGCGTAGTCATTAATGCTCTAACCTTCTCCGTGTGAGAAGAGGCCTTTGCTCAGCAGTGGGCTCTTAAAGGCTGATGATGATGATGAAACTTACGTTACTTTGAAAGATAGTTTCATCATTAGGTCAGATTAGATAATGCTATTGTAATATGGGCATTAAGCACTCACCTATCTTAAATTGCAAGTAGTTATAGGAACCTCGTTTGAGATCATTTATTCCTTGTTTGGCATCTTCGGTTATAGGGAACGAGACTCCACCCATGGTCGACTGCCTGGAATTTGGGGAATAAATACATCAACATGGTGAGAGGCAAAGTCTGTACAGATAACAAGGTGTCTCTGGAAGCATAATTGAAGAACCATTTATTTATGTTACTTATACGTCGGCAAACGAGCTGACGGATAACCTGATGGTAAGCAATCTGCGCTGCCCATGTACACCACCAACACCAAAATGGTTACGAGTGTGTTGCCGGCATTTTAGGGATAAAGGTTTCGTATATTTATTATGGATTGACTCACCGGCGAAACACAACGCTGTGGTAGTTTTCACGTTTGTCACTAGACTGTACACACTTAGACTGATCCAACAGTTCAAAACTAATGACTAATTGTTTTGAACCTGTCAGGGTATTAAATCAATGTATTCTGTTGTGTATGTGTGTGTATTTTAAGAAATAAGGATGGTAGATCAAAGTGTGGGAGCCTCGCTCAATCTAATTGATACCACAACCTCTTAGAGAACCGGCGTTAAACAACTCTTGCGTTGTATTTCGCCGTGTGGGTACGGTGGTCCAAGCCCATCTTCAATTCGCCCAATTCTCTATTCCCTAATTCCCAAAAGGCTGGCAGCATAGTTGCAACTCCTTTGGTGTCCATGGGCATGAGATACGTCTGATACATTCCCGCAAAAGCCCATATAAAAAAATCAATACATAATGTAATAGATACCTAGCATCGGTTCCATATTGTGGTGTGTGTTCGTTCTCCTGAAGTTCTTTTAAGGCCTCCTCTCTGTCGGTTAGAGGGGCGGGCGCGCTCACCCCGGTCAAATGAGCCTTGTAGCCTTTCAGACTTACTTCATCCTGTAAGAAAGATATTATAAAAAATATATCACATTGAAACCTTGTTAAAAGCTCAACCAATCAGAGACTGGAGGAACCAATGAAAAATTTTAGAATCAATGAACTAATTAAGAGGATTCCTCAGTAAAAGAATAATCTGGTAATTTCCACAGTCAAAAAATAAATTCTTTCAACTTTTCATTCAGTCAATTATATTAAAAAACTAGATACTCTTGCGCGGTTACCCGCTGCTCAGCTCCATTTCATCGTAGCGTGATGTTTTATAGCCTATAGTAATCAGGAACATTGTTGCTATTTATCAGTGAACGAATTTTGACAATCCCACCAGCGGTTTCAAAGATTACGTCCTACATACAAACTTACTTTTACTTAAAGATTCGATGACATACTTTATTTTCGATACAAAATATGTACAGAAAATTATCATTTTTGACATTTCATAAAACTATTGTATTTAATGGTTGTTAAAAATATGCAAATGTATATAATAATGTTGATAAAAGCAATCTTAGAACAAACCATAGATGCATTATGATTGTTATTTGAAAATCTAGAACACAAATCGAAGAAAAAAAACATCAATTTGGTTCAAAGTAATACTGAGATTCAAGCCTGCATAACTATGATCAGCGAAGGTACAAAATACTGAATCGAATTATCATCTCCCTAAGGAGTTTTATTACTTATCGACCTTTATCTCCATATTATTTATGGTTTCTTTTTATACCTATATAGATAGAGTGACAAATTGTTTGTTTATAGTTAGTTATATTACAGATTAGATAACACGGCCATTCAGATTTTATGATACCAACGATAGTAGTTACACACTTGAAAACATCAAACTACTTGAACTTGACATATTTCTATAACAGATTTTCACTTTGGTTGTTGTAAGTGAAATACATACTTATCAAAAGAATTTCTTATAGAGCAAGTCCTTCATGGATGTTCGAACTAAATGTTTAAAAATAGACTTTTGTGTAACAATTCTATTTGGTAAATTTTAGCATAATATAACACCAGGCAGGCTATTGAGACTATACTAATGATGATAGATTGCTCAGTCAAAATAAACCATTTTGAGTATTGAATACAACTAACTATTCCAGAATAATGCGCTTTTATTAATATATTTTACGATATACTAGTTTCAAATCTATATATATATAAAAGAAAGTCGTGTTAGTTACACAGTCCACTTATAACTTAAGAACGGCTGAACTGATTTAGCTGACAATTGGCAGGGAGTTAGTTTAGAGCCAGGAGAAGGACATAGGATAGGATAGAGTAGGTAGTGTAGGGCAGGTAGAGTAGGGTAGGTGGGCACGGTAGGTAGACAAATGACGGGAGCGACGCCGCGGGTAAGAGCTAGTTTATAATAATTGTAATTTTTTTTTTAAATAGGCGAGCTGTTTTTATTCATAATATTATGAAGTCATAAGTTGCAATGGCATACAAAATTCATATCATAAAAATACCTAATTCTTAATTGCTATATTCATAATTATTCAAACCTTCACAGTAGCATGCATTTCATCCTTAATGTGTGCTGAACCAAATTCCTGTTTGAGCGTTGCTTTTGTAGAGGCATACAACATCTTGTGTCTGACCGGGGCACTGTCTGGAGACCAGCTCAGCAGCAGCCACTCGTGACCAAGTGAGTTGGTTGAGTCAAACCTGGAAAATTGGGTAAAAGTAAAATACTGGGCATATAATGAAGGTTGATGCTTCATGTTTTACGTGTTATCATCATGTTCTTGAGAAAATTTTTTGTAGCAGCACCGAATCAGGAACTATCTATGGCAATAGGTTTACGCCCATTTACATGAGAATTATAACATGACTAGTATAGGGTAAGTGAACATGGTATATGTGATGTGGTTCTAATCGGTAATTTTTTTTTGTTATTATTATAATAAGTCGGCAAACGAGCAGCACTGGTGGTACACAATCGGCGCCACGTATGGACACCCACAACACCAAATGAGTTACGAATGCGTTACCGGCCTTTTGGCGACAAGAATTGCGGATATTCAAGGATTGGGACGGGATAGGATAGGGGGGGGGGGATAAGCATTGGGCCTCTGGTTACCTCACTCACACGGCGAAACACAACGCTGTGGTTGTTTCACGCTGGTTCTTTGTGAGGCCAATCATTCCAGTCGAACCGGCCACGTGCCGAAGCTTGACTCCCCCACACTTAAATTCGGCCCTTGATTCGGCATGCAAGCAGATGGATTTCCATATGGCTCGACCGAAGTACTACGCCGAAGTTTCGCTCTCCTACACTTATTGTCTTTATTTAAAAATGAAATTATAAAGTTGCTCACCTATACAAAATGTAACACGGCAAGTCTTCAACAATTAATGAGGGTACATATTTGTCGAAGTCTTGCTCCCATGAATGCTTTGTTGGATAATACTTTGACAAAACCAGCTGTTCTGTAATTTAAAAATACATTATTAGTAAAACTTTTTGTATTTTATTTATTTACTGCAAAAAAGTGTCTGGTGCTAATTCAATGTGTTGTTGTGTGGTATCTACATTGTAATTAAATGTATCGATTCTTTATTTAAACTAATTGATTGGGAAGGTTCTCGTTTTATTTTTTTAAGAGCTAGATTTTTAATGGTTAGATAAGAGTTATGTGGGGAATAGTTATGATGCTGTCGTGTCAGAATGTTTGTATAAGACAGTGACAGTAACAATTTTATTCCTTACATAACATTTATCTGACTATTGAAAAATCAGCTCTAATCGGATTGTTATTTTTTTAAATTTGAGAATACTTCAAAGACACAAAAATGAAGTATTATTTGTATAGTTGCAGAAAAGGAAAATCTTTCTTTATTTCTTCCTTACCATTTTCTATGCTAATTTTCATGACCCGAATCTTTCCATCTCTGCATTTTCCAAAATATTTCTTTAACTCTGCATTGGCTGAAATAATAATAAACAAGAATTTATAATTGTTATCTATAAGTTTATTATCAACCCCTGTAATATTTATTGAAGTAGTTATTATGTTGCATTAAAATGCATATCCTTGTATGTAGTACTACAACTCAAGAGCCATACTGATGAACTGTTACTTATTATAAGTACTTATATATTAATATTATAATATAAAGAGGTAAAATTTGTAAGTTTGTATGTTGGTATGTTCGGGGTAATCTTTGGAACTGCTGACTGGATTGCCAAAAAAAAAAGAGTAGCTAGTATATTAATATTTTTATTTTGCATTGGATTTTCTCCTTAGTCTGGGATGTGTTTACAAACCTACAAATCCACTAAAAATCACTCAAAGGCCCATATCACAATTTTAGGGATCACAGAGTATTGTTTCATGTAGGAATTGCTTTTGTGACATGTTCTGAAACACCCAGTAGCCCAGTAACTTGCCAATCGTGCACAAGTATATAGTATCTTTGCAAAACTCAAGTATTTTATTAGGTAAAATCCAAATGGCATTTCACATGAAATTGTTACCGAAGTGTCCATAATAGGTATTAAACCATCAATGGACCTTAAAATTCTAAGACAACATTTGAATGAGTTGAGTCAGCTATGTCTTTGATGACTATGCAGTTTTTATAGTTTTTGCAAAACACAGGTTACAATGACTGGTAAGTAACCGGACCAAGGAGGATGGTCAAAGATTTTGTAGTGTGATTGTATTTAGAAGCTTTTGGCCTTGTTAATTGGGATCATTAGGCTTGCTTTACTAAAGCTAGCTAAAGTAACAAAAAGCAATTGCTTTTTCCCCTATTTGGTTAGGTAACAGTAACAGTTTTTGTGTTCCGGATATTATGAATGCTGTGTAGACTTCCTTATTAAAATCAATTTAGAATTTCAGCGTGGGTGATCTGTTTGCAAGCCCCGAATAAAGTTGTGTTTAAAAATATACTTCATACATTTCGCAATAATTGTATTAATTCACGACCGAGAAGAAAGTTGATGTTTTATCACAATTATTAGCTAAGTACGTGCTTTATTTTGGAACGAAAAAGATAACTGTAATGTACTTAACACACCTACCTTGAATTCCTGTTTGATGAGACATTGTTCTATTTCTTATACAATTAGCTTACTCTATAATTATACCAAAAACGACACGGTTCACAAATCAACAGTATAAATGAAATGGTAAAAGGAAATTAAATAACGAAAAATCTCATTCACGTAAATAGTCACCGCTCACTGTTCGCTTTTGACACTTAGTTTGTTTGACAATTCACTATCAATGACAGCTGTCAATAGTAAGCAACCGATCGATTAGTCAATAACGTTTAGAAATAAATTTAAATGAAATCATGGTAATTCGGTTGTTATTTCATAATTTTAGAATAAAATGCATTCAGATAATTAATTACAATATATTGATTTTGTTTTATTTGTATACTACTTACCATATTACTTAAATAATGTTTTTGCTTACGCTGACACACGGTAAAACTCGCGCGTTATTTAAAACTTTTGCATTTCATTTTTGTCCAAACAACTTTTTAAATTGTAATTGTTACATTCATTCATTGTTAAATTATTTTTGAAAAAATATGACACGAGTAATTCTTAAGTCGATATTTTTTTGACTGGAGAAGAAAATTAACCTTTTATTTCATTATTATGTAAGTAGTAAGATAATTTGATTGAAAAAGTACCGATTCAACAACTCAGTTAAAATTTGTTAAAGTCCTAGCCTGTGTCCTAGCTACACTGATGATTTTTTCGAAACCTAGGTAAAGTAGTGTCGCATATAGGATAAATAAAAAAAGTGGAGAAGAGAGTGGTGAGTATTGCACTATCATTTTTACAATGAGATTTAGGTTGGCATTTCAGGTTATTATATTATGGACCTGTAGGTATTAGTATTATTTATTTGAGAGCTTTAAATACCTGGGTGCTATAATAATTAATCCTCTTTAGTATTTCCCGAAGAACTTATTTCGGTTGTTTGCCAAAATAGTGCACAAAATGGACCTTTGGGGAGCAATGAAGCATAGTCTGGTAGACGGCTCATTGGAATTATCTCATGCAAATTCAAACATTTACCTATTAGGTAGGTAGTTGTTAAAATGCTACGAAAGTCTCTTTATTAATATGCATTTTGTATTTTAAGATTAATTTTTAAGGTGCATACCAAAAAAGGTTGATAATAGTAAGATAATAAGGTTTATTTCACATTAAGCGAAAGTGGTAGACAAACGACTGCATGTAGTCGTTATTTGAACCTAATGAACTTTATCTGTACCTAATAAGGATTTTTTATATTTTTTTTATTCTGAGGACTTATATAAACATGGTTTACGTAGCCCCACCTTTGAGCCCCACAGACTAACAAGTTTAAGTGCCTTAGGGTGGGGTATTTTACTTTTTACCACATACACACTACCTACATACTATGCACATAATATACCACACTACTACTACCTAATTCGCTAAATAACAGACAAAAATCTTCCATCCCACATCGATGTCCATTAATTGTATCAGAAACAGAGGTCATTAAATATTTCTGCACAATTAAGGCGCAATGGCCGCCAATGATTTCCCGCCACAGCACAAATACAATGCGGGAACATACCACAATTATTGTGGCAATGGCGTCTCGGTCGATGATAATTAACCGCTAATAATACGCGAAATAGGGTACGTGACAATAGAACGGTTTTTGTCATTTGTTTTTTTAAAATGTTTTATAATTTAGGGCTGAGAGGCTAGAAGTGGAGAGGTAGGTACATAACCTTAATAGTCAAACCAACGTGATTTTTTTGTCCACATGCCATCAAGCCCACCCCTCCTAGTACCACCACAGTACCTAGTGCTAAGATTCGACAAAAAACAAATCCAAATACTGCAGCGGTAACACTCCTCTTTGAGGAGTGGCTAGAGTGACGCCATTGCGTCCTCACCTTCTGCTTGATGCAGCTGTTCACTGGATAGTTTCTGGTAGTAACCTTATAGGATTCAGCGGGAGAAAACGCCCAGGTGTTCTCATTGCGAGCACTGTGATGTTGTGTCCTGCTTTGGCTGTGCATTGTGCATGCCATGTCCTCAGGTGAGCGATCAGCGGCGGCGAACTTTTCAGCTTTAATTCAGACGAAAGTGTAGTGCGGTAGCTAAGGAGGCCGAGCGCGTTAGGGAATGATCTTCCTCATGTCTTAGCCACGGGCCTTATTAGGGCCGATGTTGAGGTGATGTAAAGCGGTCGGGATCAAATAAAAAAACGTTAGCAATCATAATTAATAATTGAATGAATAATTCAATACAAATTCGTAATAAGATTTCAAAATTTGTTGCTTCTATTAAAACTTCAATAAACGAACTTTGTATAATTTAACGCCAACTTATATTGGGTGCGATGTTTGAGCTGCAATAGATCGAACGCGTTATTGTTCATTGAACAAATGAATACGTTCGGATACATCTATAGATTCTGATTTCAGATGCAGATTACACAAACACATTTCCAACGAGAATTTGTTTTAGCTCATTGTTTTCGTAAATACTGGATTTGATATCCAACCGCATTCCTGTTGAGTACATTGGTTTTATTGCATGTGATTGTGAACAATTTAACAATTAGCTTTTAATTTTAATGAAATGTTTCGAGCATAGAATTTCAATTACGGTTATTAGATACCAACCTGTAATAAGCTGTTATAGAATTTTGTTTCGTATTTTTAACAATTTTAATATTTCGATATTTTATGGGTTGACAATGCAGTTGGGAAGGATGATTGTTTTCTTGTTAGTGAGAAGAAAAAGAAAGAGTGGCTTGAAAGCTTCTTCCAACCAAAAAGTATTAACTTTTCTTACAACACATTACAGCGTTATAGAGATTTTACGGCTTGATAATAAACTAAATATTTAATTATCTACTGGTGTACTTTCCACAGCTATAGAGTATCCCTGTAACAATCCCTTGTGCCTTATTTTTGATCTCTAGAACATGTCTCTAAAAGATAAAGAAAGAACAAAGATTAAACGTTTCCAAAAGACAGACACAGACGCAATTTGTATAAAAATAACACTGAGTACCCACTCACATGTAAAACATAACAAACGCTATCTAATTAACCAACGCAAGCATAACAAGGCAGATGAGAAATGAGAGCAATTCGCTTTAAACATCTCTTGTAGAAGGAGCAAAATATATTCAGCAGTAATGAGGCTACCCACAAAGCGGACATGAAACACTACGAAATGGATGAAAAATGTGAATCGGGAAATCTGTACAGCTCTCATCAATTAAATATTTCTGACCCATTAGCACAGGTGGGAAGCATCGTAATGGAAGGCCATTAGAGTGGCCGGTCGGGCCCGAGCCGTATTATGGCAGCGTGTGATAGTTAGCCGTGTATAAATCCGTATAATACTGGTTTTATATCCCCCCAGCTAAGTTTGTTAGTGTTTGATCTATTTGCCTTGTTTATACGTGGGATTGTGGCAATCGTTTGCGATTTAGGAGATTAGTTCGGTGATTTATACACGCTATCTCTCCAGTTTTGATTTTGTTGTCTTTGATTCATTTCAGCGTATTGGCGTATCCTTAATACATAAAAACTTTTGTATAAGCAGTTGGAGAATCATCCCATAATTTCCCCGGGCCTGGTCTGGGCAAAGAGGAAGTTTCAGACGGCGAGTAAGGGTAGCTCACCGCCCGACCAAAACCAGACCCGAGCGTATGGCGCGTAGCGTTTCGCGCGCGCCTCAAAGATCTAATAGACCACCATAGACGGATCCCTATAGGGCTGATGTTCAGCCGGGGTTGCGGGTTAACCGCAATGAGTCACCGCGGACTCGGCCCAGAGCAGGAGAACGAACGGGGGGGTTTTTAATCAGTAGGTGTCTGATACTCTCTCTCATTTCATGATTTTCCCCTGACAAAAAATAGGAAATCAAATACTTAACTTTAAATAATGGACGATATTTGTTTTAATTAAGTTTCCTCTCTAACGCCTCCTAACATACACAAATAAAAAAAACACAAGATACAAAAGGCGCATTGTTTAAATCTTAAAAGACTAAAGCTCAATATTCGTATAATAAATACCTAAAAATATATCTATAATAAATCAAATAATACTTCAACGGAAACCCATACTAAAATAAAGATCAAGAGATATTCGATTTAGTAAAGTGGATAGTCGTATGAGTGCTAGCAATAAAATTAAAAATAATATAGAAATATTTTACGACTAGATTCGTTGCAGACAAGAGATAGATGGTACATAAGTCTAGTACAGAATTTTCAACCTTATTTTGTCAAACACAAAGATTTAAAAACCTTTTCATGTAGCTACTTGCAAGATTTTGATGTGGTATTAGAAAATGTAAGTAATTTATATATTTTAACAATTGGATGGTTTCGTAGGTTATACATAAATAAATTAATTCAACGTTTCAATACAATAACATAATATTAAAAATAACAATACTTTTATTTATATCGATAAAATTTTCGAAACTTTTTAGCAAATTTTAAGAAATAAGTAGGTAACCTATTTGACTCAAAAATACTATGATCTAATTTGGAGTAATATACAAATTTCGTAGAAATGCATAATTTTTGACATTTGGATAAAAGTATTAAATTTGAATAAATTTGATTAGTAGGAAACTATCGCATTAAGGTTAACGGAGGCCGAGACCTCCTCTATTTCCAATCCCCAAACCCTCAATCATCTAATTCCTTAAAAGGTCAGCAGCAAACTTATAACGTTTCGGTGTTGCAGTTGTCCGGAGGGGGCGCCGATTGCTTACCATCAGGTAATCTGTTTAAAAAGTAACGACTATGCTAACCTTCAACAAGAAACAGCGCGTTTGTACGTAAGCGCATTATTTTTAAATTTAGAAAGTCGTTAAAAACATACAAGTCACCACAAAGTTACAGATATAACTAGTATAGCTAAATGGTTATGATCTCCCTGCAGTCGGGCGCCCATCCAACTCAAGAATTCCTTTCACTTCGCTGATTTAACGAAACCACCGGTTTTGCTTGGTACGCCTATTGTCCGCCTGTTATTATTAGTATTTCACGGTACAACTGCTTTATAGAAAGGCAGGGGCCCGTATATTGGAAAGAATTGAAAACCTTCTTCACAGTCTGTAACCCATATAGGTAGGTACCGACCTCTTTGTTGGACATTGAACGTAGTTCGCTTAGAGATGCAACTAACTGTCCCATATTCTTTTTCA